GTAGTAGTAGTAGTAGTAGTAGTAGTAGTAGTAGTAGTAGTAGTAGTTATTATAGTACGTAGTAGTTGTTGTTGCTGTTGTTGTTATAGTTGTAGTTCGTGTTTTCCTGCTGTTACACGATTGCCGAAAAAGGGGCCGTCCAAGGTCGACGTTTGGACGGCCCCTTTTTTTCTACCAGTAGTAGTAGTAGTCCTCGACGTCGTCAACGTCATCGTCAACCTCAGTGGATTAGTGGCTGCGTGGTCGTCGTCAGCAAAACAAGTACCGGCCTGAGTGAAGATTTTTTTTGCTTTCAAGGAATTGATCGTTCCCGCGGGGTGCGCTTGTTGATTGTTTCGTCCGCCTTGAGGTTGGGAAGACATCCAGAACGATCCCTTCATTTTAGGCGACTACTTCATCCACAGGCGGTCGGGAAGCCCCAGAGTGTGAGAATCAAGTCAAGGGCAGTCACGCATAGGAGGGTTCGATTGCTTTGGATGATGTCTTCATAACAAGCATTCAAGCAAGTCGTGACCCATCGCGTCAAACCATTGTGACAATGTTGCCAATCCTCCTTGCGTTGATTCAACAAATCTTTTCAAACACTTCAGGACGATGTCCTATCAGGAGAGACAAGCCATCATCAGTATGATGACAATCAACAGCGAGGCTATCGAGAGGAACCAAAGGGTGATGAGGAGGGTGGCACAGATTTTCAATGAGAGCGATGAGGGCCGTGAAGGTGCTGAAGGCCGTGAAGGCCACGAAGGCAATGAAGCCTATAAAGGTCGTGAAGGCGACGGATTCCCTGTGCCTCAACCGAAGGCGTCATCATCAATGAGGAGGCCAAGAGGCCAAGGAGCCCATCGCCGAGGAGGAGCCCATCGATGAGGAGGCCAAGGAGCCCATCGCGTCCGCCCAGACGGTGCAAGAGAAGACACATCTTTCGGGGCTGAGTTTCACCATCGTCACATTGGATTTTGCTCCAATGATGAAAAAACAGTGCTCACAAGTCGTCCGAGTGATTTGAACGTCCCACCGTCCCACCCCTTTTTTTCCACTCGTTCCCTGTGAGCTCCTTTTAATTGATGTCCACTGGCTCCACCGTCTGAGGTTGAGAAGTCTTGCTCTTCACCATCTTTACCACCGGACAACCCGAACGTGCAACCGTCGTCGTCTCGTTGCGAAAACTTTTTGATAATTGTTTTGGTTTTCCTTTAGCACAACAAAAGACACTTAAAAAAGAACCTTATAGAGTAATTAAAATATGCAAGAGATGGATGAAGATGTCTTCGACCAGATGGTTCAAGCACTCCAACAGGTAGAGTTGAAAACCCCAATTCCAGAGAAACCAAACAGATACAGACCCGACGGAACCGGAGACAATTCACCTCTAGACCCCGACTACTTCAAGAAATACTGCCAACAGAACCTCAAAAAGTTGTTCAGGTGCCCGGACTGCGGACGGACACTTACGAGCAAATCCAACTATGCCAAACACCAGAAAACCAAAATCTGTATGAAGAACTGATGCGCCTCTAGCAATAGAGGATAGCGTCGAAAGGTGCACCCACATTACCTGGATTTGGTCCACCAGTCTGGCATGTTGGCGGTCCACTTTGGGGAAACAAATGGGACTAGAGCAAATCATAACAGTATATTGATTCCATGCTGCAAAGATTCCAAGGCATCCTTCATGTTTGACCCTGGGGGAACTTTCTCCACGCCCAGTGCGCGGTCAGGCGTTTCTCAATGGACTCGAATTGGGTCACTGCATGAAGGAGGTTTTTCAAACGCTGGCGCATGTACCAGTGCCAACCCACCAACGGGATCTTCAAATCAACATACTTGTTCTGAGCTGGGCGGATCCCATACTTCTTTTCGTTGCGATAGACTTGCTCGGCGTACTGCTTCTTGATGGTGAATGTTTTCTCAGCTACCATGGCAGGGACCGGAGTCAATATTCAAGTGACTTGAAGATAGCTTGGAACCCAGACGCTCTGAAGATACTATATGTCACATTGGTCACATTATGTCACATTGATTTCAAGTCATGGTCTTGTCGTTCATTCATCAACTCTATTTGTTTTGTGATCATGACTTGAACCCTGCAAGTCCACAAACACATTAAATGCGGTGTTCTGAAGGTATTAGAGACATGCCAGGCACCTTTCCGCCTTCAAAACTTGGCTGCTTCTTGAGGGCTCGAGCCTTGAATTGTGCATTTTCATTTCTTCATTCCTTTGATTAAACTGCATTGAGCAATTGGTGTTCTCGGTGGCAGTTAATTTTGAACGCATACCTCACACAGCAATTGCTTCCAACTTGACCGCTCAGCTGCTGTTTCACATCAAGTGACCTGGACGTCCTTCATCCTTGATCCTGGCCATCAGTGGGAGCCTTACATCTTCAACGGTCAAAAACATGATGATGGTATCTCAGCATCTCTGAATGGTTGTCCATGTCTTTCTTTTGCAGGAGTGCCATGAAGAGGCCAGCTAAAAAGGCTTGTCTTGACTTGTTTTGACTCATCCTAAGGAAATTGTCAATCTTCTATCCCATTCTCCAACTGAACAAGAAACCAACATCCTGCGATACCAGGCTCCCGTTCATCCTGCGCCTCCTTTGACTCTGCCTTGTTCTTCTCATCCTTCTTCGCAGTCTTTGTCTCCTTCGGTTCTTTCCCACTCTTCTTTCCATTCTTTGTCTCCTTCGACTTTGCCTTGTTCTTCTCATCCTTCTTTGCAGTCTTTGTCTCCTTCGGTTCTGTCTTGTTCTTCTCATTGTTCTTTCCATTTTTTTGTCTCCTTCGACTCTGCCTTGTTCTTCTCATCCTTCTTTGCAGTCTTTCTCTCCTTTCGTTCTGTCTTGTTCTTCTCATTCTGCCGTGTCTCCTTCTCCTTCGAATCTGTCTTCTTCTTTTTATTTTCATTCTGCTCTGCCTCTGTGTCTTTCTTGTTTGCCTCCTTCGTATTTGCTGGTAGAGGTTTCGGGTGGTGGGCAGGTGCTTTGTCTGGATACATTTGGGACGGTGAGATATCCACCCGAGTTTACCCACAAACTGAAGATTTGCCTTTTTTGAGACTGAAGTGGGTTCGCTTCGGAATGAATAACCCGCCCAACATATTGCGGTGAAGACCTCTCGCACGACTTCGGCAGGACCACAAGATCTTGCCTCCGGTGCCCAAGGACTATGAGGAGCGTGGGATCACTATCAGTCCGAGCTCAGATGGCACTTTGCAGTACACCTGCAAGCTGCAGCTTGGTGTCGACAATTCGGAAACTGTTTCGTGGACGGAGAGAAAGCATTCCAAAAAACCTTGTTGTATCAGGAATTCTGGGAAGATCTTGGTAAGATTCCAAGATTGGTGCATCCTTTCTTTATAATTGTTTCTATTTTCTGCTTGGTTCGCCCACATAGGCCAATTCACCAGAGCAAAGCACCCGGTCTTTGGCGAAAGGAACAAACCAGTCATTCTTTCAAGATCTGCAACATCCTTATGTCGACTTAGAGAAAAATCCTTCCCTTCCCTTCCAGGCCCTCCCATCTCCAGCCACAAAACGCAACCAAACAGGATCTACTATATATATATATATATATACTGTAGAAAATATTTAACAAGTAGGCAACCCTCAATCGACTGGTTGCTATACTTCACAAGGAGGAACGTTTCTGTTCTTACCAGTTCTCACAACATCTATGCGTATCAGCCACGGTGGGATTAGGTAGTTCATTTCGCGTGGCCATTGTGGGACGGTGAATTGTCACCCACTTTTGAATCTACCAGCACGTCGCGAATGGACGCCCCTACATTACTGAGGGATCTCCATAGGACACCCCTTGAAGGTCCACGTCCAGGTATATTTGTTGCACTGGGCCTTGCGTCAAGCGTCGGCTCAGCCCTTGTTCTGCGGGGCTGTGCTGCCCGCGTTTAAACTTCCACCATCAAGTGAATGTAAAAAGAGCTCTGGACGGCGGACACTCGACCGCTTGAGGTGCCATACATGTGTTGCAGGATTCTAACTAAGGGGTTAAACATGTTGTCAATGTTTACAGTAACAACTTTTGTCCTGGTGCAACTTCCCGTCACACCCAACCCGTCCAACTTCCGACCCGACCGAACCAGGGTGGGTTTGATTGCACAGGTGCAAAGCAGGACCTTTTTCCACGCTGGAGAGTGACTCGGCGAAAGCGGGCGGCCGCGAGTGACGGGGGGGTTGGAACCCCACCGGGGTGGTCACGAAAGAGGTCAGCGTCCAGGAATGAGATTTCATTCCAAACCACCAGCAAAACAAACAAAACCATGAAACTAACTTTGATCCCCGGTCCATGAAGACCGCCGACAGTGAACGAACTCTGCACTTGGAACATTTAACGAAGATGTTTTTGCTCACACAGCAGATGAATTCAACTTGAAGAACACGGCTTCAGTATGGTGCCCAGGCAGAATTGGAAGGAAACTTACGGAAACGATCCAGCATGGCAAGATACACACACACACATTCTTTTAAACGTGAATTCAGTCATATGGGTGTGTATTTTACTTTAATATGCAATGCTGGAGTTTTGGTGACCCAGGTCAGTACTCTCGGCACAATTTATTTTGCAATAAAGCGGCAATTGCAATGGTCTCCAAAGAGAGCCATGCGGATTGAACTGGGTCACCTTTCTCACCTCCCGGGTTTTGAGCCCAACACAATCCTGAGGCAAGGTCCACTCGAGACCCATCCTCTTCCTCAAAGCATACTTAGACTCAGAACTTTAGGGAATAGGTAGACCGTAGACTGGTTTGTTTTCCTTCTTCCAGGGAGTCGAACTGGGATGGTCCCCCTATTTTAATACACACAAAAGGGATTTCTTCTTTCTTCCTGAAGAAGTTTTCAAAGCTGCTCGAGACCAGCTCCTCGTTAGGGCCCCAAAAACCATGGCACATGTACTCGTGGGCCACTTCTGAGAAAGCTTCCTTTGTGTTCGCAACGTTTTGTTGGATAACTCATTCATGGGCAAAGAATCCAAGTAGCTCTTGTATCCTCACCCGGCCACTCGCCCACACGGCGAAGCGGTCTCTTCTCGCCCGGTCAATCGTCAAGCTTGCTCGCCAAATCGCCCACACGGTCATCGCGGTGGCAAACACTCTTTGCCACAGCCAGCTGTCATGGTGTGCAAAAGAAACAGGGCCATCCAAGAGGTGTTTTTGGTGGACTGCTCGGGTTGACAGCACAGCGCCCGGAACCCACACGCTGCACAGCGCCCTTCCTCACGCGATCCGCGATCATGCTCCGGTTGGTCCACTGCGCGATCCACCGCGCGCGAGGTGTGAAGAGCCACTTGGGCGGATCCAAACACAGTTCCAAAGAACCTGGGCCGAAAACGGACCGAGCGCAAAACAAGCACGGGTGGTGAAACCGGAGCATGTTGGTGTCTGTGGAGGCTTGGGGTGGAGTTTTTGTTTTGGTTGGGAGGAAATCATAGAGATGAGCAGAATCATGAGGAAAAACAGGACAAGTGTCCAGTGCGTTGGCAGCAAACAAAATGGATTCCACCACCATTTTGCATCGTTTTTCTTGTGTTCAGGGGTCGAGGAGTCCATGTGCAGGTTCTATACGTGCACAGTACGTGCGTTTTGCTGTTGGGAAAACTGAAGCTGTCATTGTAGGCTCGGCTGCAAAGTTTGTAGGCACCGTGCATGTTTCAGGCTTGAGCAATTTCTGCGACTACCAGGCACTCGAGTAGCTCCAGTTTAGTATATAAGGTAAGAAAGGTAAGAATAAGGTTCGATAGATCCTAGATATAATATATTTCCCCGGCTGAATTGGGCCTCTGACCTCTGAGGACACCTGCAGACATCTTCTGATTGAATGAAGGTTCTGTGAGGTCCTCAACCTTCCTTGACGCCCAGGAGGGCCGTGAGCCGGACTTGCAGCTGACCCCAGAATTGATCAAGGAGCGCCGCATGAGTCAACGAAAGCAGGAAACCCGGCGAATTCTTCCGGTTTTGCAGCCTAAGGCAACAAAGGATATCCACGGATAATAGTTTGAGCGTTTTGAGGTGATCTTGTCGATCGTGATTGGACGTTGGACCAGTCGAGCGGTTGGAGGCTCACTGGCTTTCATTGATTAGTTGAACCATGCTCAAATGTCGAACAGTTCTAATCTATTAATTGCAATCTAGTGCAGCAAATGGTCAGGGGAACCAGGAGGATGATTCGCTTCCACCTATTCTCAAACTGAAAAGGTTTGTTTGCTTCGATGTGGTCGGTTTCCAGGGCCCCAGTTCACTCAGTTCGCACCCGAGGAAGCTTTCGACTCCGCGCGCCTTCTCGGAGTCGTGTCATGTCGTGGGATGGTGGTGCCATCCCTGGGGTAGATTTCCCCCCCCACACTGGGGGTTTAGCTGGTTTAAAAATGGCTTCGAAGATCTTCGATGTGCTTCGATTGGGTTGGCTGAGATAAGATGGGGTTGAAGGAACCCATTGGCTTAGTGGCTTAGCTATCCTTAGTTTTGCAATACTGAGAAGCAGCGTTGTGGGGGCTAAGTAAGTTCACTTTGGGTACCCTAGGAACCTGCGCAGCTTTTTCCACTCGTGTGGGAGACCCGTCGGGCCATCCAGCAGGGCAGCTTGGGGTCGCCCCCTTGGGCCAGTGGCAACTGCGGCACTTGACCAATTCGATGGCCTGCGAACAGTCACATGGTGCGACACCTTTTCTTTCCCTCCCACTATAGCTTTGATGCCTTCCGTGGCAATCCGTTGCGGACTTTGCCATTGGCTGACCCACTTTGCCGGTGCCGTGTCTATAGCCGCCGTGTCGGTAAAACCCCATGAACCGTCGCCCCAGGAGGTTTTGTGCCAAACCCGATGACACAGAAGACGAAATGACAAACAACAAATGACACAGACAAGACACAATAGCGCAAGCTTCCGACGGTTCAAATCCGACATGGAGCACTCAGCAATGCAGAGCGTCTCTACAGACAACACACTCGAGATCTGGTTCGTTCGATGCCGGCGCCGTGCGGTGCCCCTGCAATTCGACCGAAAGGTGACCTGTGAATCCACGGTGTACGCAGACACAACCACAACACCAAACAACTACGTCACACTGGACAGGTGCCTCTTGAAAAAGAACGCCCGTTTTGCTGTATGAATGCTGTCCTATTCCACGACAAACTGTTCTATCCCTGCAACGGATGGAGCAAATGGTCGATCCTTGCAAGACTGACCACGAAAGATGAAGCCACACGAACCGCTGGCCGACCACATGGCGATTTGGCCCCGACCCACGCACCAGGAGGGCTTCCTCCTTGAGGAGGGCGAGGACGGCGCTTCTGTCGCGCGCTGTGCGCGCTGCGATGCGGGGCCCTTCAAAGACCGCCAATCCTTGAGGCCCGAGCTGTGGTGGAGTTGGGTTGAGTTGGGTGGTGTTCTCGCCAAAGGCGGGGTTTGGAAAATTGGTGTAGGAAAATGAGGTTTAAGATGGTTTAAGTATGAACATAGGCTGAGTTGACCTATCCTGGCTCATGGCCAACACATCATTTGCAATGCAGGCTTCACCGCCCTCAATTAGATATCATGAGTACACCTTGGACACGTTCCAACAGCATGAACATCCACTACGTTGTGGTGACCTCATGTTAAGAAATCCACTTGTGACCAAGGTCGTTGGGATGAATCGACTTGCAGTGCGGGGTGCGAATGGTTTGATGCCCTGACAAGTTTCCCCAGACAACTGTCCACTGTTGGTTTAGGTTGTGTTCATTCTCTTCTTGTTCTTTTTCTCTCATGTCTCGCAGGACAGTCCGGGTTGCCAGGGCCCTGTTTGATCCTGTTTGTAACTATTGCTAGTCTGCCGTTGTTGTTGTGGTGGCGGTGGCTGTGGTGGTGTTGACTGTCCTTGTGGTTGCTATATATAAGAATCTCGCTGAATAAGTGGATAGCGCTCAACAAATGCGGTGTGTACACTTTTGTTGAACAAATGCATCATCAGGGGTTCACTTGTGTATGTCCTTCATGGGTTGCTCTCCAACCTTTGTGACAAACGTGGCTTGGTAGTGGCATCCAGCACCAGTTCGTTAGGGATGGTCGTCTTCTTGCCGCGCTGATGGTGTCCAACCATGCGCCACATAGCTCCGTCGTTCATGTCGCTGTTTTTGAGGCAGCACCGGCTGTCCATGCAGCACCGCGAGGTGGAAGTGGACGCGGAGTGGCTCGGTCCAACTTTTCTCAGTATGTTGGTTGGTTCTGCTTTGTTTTGACACCATGGGTTTTTGGATGGTTTTTTCATACATGTTCAAACACATTTGCATGCTTTTCTCCTGTCACCTGGGAAGGATCATGCTTTACAAAGTTTACAATCATTAACTACAATGGCTCTGGTACGTGAAACACTCTGCTTTCGTGGAGAACACAGGGCTGAGGACCAATGGTTCGGAACAGCCCTGGCAGAACCTGCGCCTCTTTCGACCTTTGAAGTCCGCCTCCCATGGCAGAACTGCTAGAGTCCAGGTGAAAACACTTTTACCAGTCAGGTGGTGGAGAGATGCTCCAGATTCCCAGTTCCAAAATCACACCCATTTGATAGGACCTTTCTGTTCCATTGCGCAACTCTGATGACCCAACTGATACATGAGGAGCTTTGCCAGTGGAACTTGACCTACAAACTGCTGTTTCTTTTGCTTGTGGTTTCAACATCCTGCAATTTCATGAACATCTTACAGTAGACACCCTCGACTTACCAGGAAGAAAGCTCCTGCTGTTTTGATGGGAAATGGCTGGGACATGTGTGTCGGAACCCATCAACCCAGACGCTTCATGTATGAAAGCCATCGCCCCTGCATGCGGGTGCTAACTTGGGGTGGTAGACTGAATTCGTAGCACTCAGATGTTCCTTCGGCGCGGAGTCCCCCAGGGACCCTTCCGGATCGAGACCCGAGACCTGGCGAGCACATGGGATCGCAAGTCGAGCAGTGGTTAGCAGTGCCACCCGCAGCTGAAGGATGGAAGAACAGCTTGGATACTTGCCCGGCTACGTCCAACTCATTGGCAATACCTTCTGCTGCTACATTTGTGATGTCTCATCTTGTACACTTGCCGCTTGGTAGAGGAACTGGGTGGCAGTTCTGGTCAGTCTTGAATGCCGGGTACAAGTAGAGAAGCCTCGGAAGAGACGCCTACATGCTGGTGATAATAGCATCGTATCACTGTTGATCTTGAGACAGCAACCAGAGAACAACCCAGCGACGGACGCCTAGACCATGACACAACTTGTTGGACAGGCTTCAGGGCCACAAGGCTTTTTCTTTCCCAAACTGTCTACTGTTGGGGTTCACTCCTAGGAAAAAAATAATGGCCACAGTCTTGGGCCGCTCCCCTGAACCCTCTGTCCGGGTGTTGTCCTCCTGTTATCCTCCTCTTGTCCTCCAGTTGCGTGACCCCCTCTTGTCCTCCTGGTGTCCTCCTGCTGGTGTCTAGTCTTCTTTGTCCTCGTGCCACGCTTGCGAACCCTGTGTCCTTCTCTTGTCCTCGTGTCCCCCTCTTGTCCTAGCCACTCCATAGCCTTTTGTTTTACCCCTTGTCCCCTGCTTGGCCAGCCTTCTCTTTCTTCACCGCCTTGTCCGGGTATGTTCTCGTGTGGCTATGAACTCGGATTTTCTCATGACACATATCTCTGCGCATTTGCACATGTGACATGGGAATCAGGAATTATATGGAGTTAGTGTTTACATGCCGTTCCCAAACAGCTGGCTATAGGAATCTAACTGCAGACGTTTACCACCAACATTGGAATTGAATTCAAGGAGTTGACGCAAGAGAATGCTGAAGCTGTTTGGGGTCTATGCTGGCATGTGTCATAGAGACTTTCATGAAGCGTGAATGACTGATCTAGCAATCTCCCGAGATCTACCATGATCTACCTCTTTCTGCACCATTCACTTCCGGGAATTCCCTTCATCGGATGCCAAGGATGGGATGCTGCAACACCTCTCTGGCAAGAGCCACCGGAAGGCGCCTTGGCGGAGCCACCGGGTCCACCCAGCGGTGAAGAAGAGTTCAGGATCATCCTGTCTGGGTGCCCAAGCAATGGGCTGGGTAGTCGAACGCCAGGGGCCCCCCCCACAGGATGACCCAGGTAGGTCACCTCACTGACCCATTTGTCTTGATATGTCAGTGACGATGTCCGCGATTTGTTCTCAAACTTGGTTGGATGGTAAATCTGGGGCCAAGTCTGGTTGGATGAAGCTCCGATGTTGTGCTGGTCCATTTCAGGGCCGAGGAGGTTGAACCCTAAATCACAGATCCAACAGGAATGAGCAGGAAGCATCCCTTGTAGACTGGAGCAGCTTCAAGTGTTTTCTCATGTGTTCTCCAACGAAAGGAAGCGTGGTAACTCCACTTGGACCTCCTGCACCAGCACCCCTGAAAAAGGTCCACCAGTCATAGAAACAGCCATTGAAGTGTCAAAAGGTCACCGACACAGGACTCATCCTCATCTCCATGGCTGGGCGAGTCGGGACGTGGTGGCTGGTCTGACCACATCCTCCTCGGTGGGTGAGACATGGGGGGCCCGGTTCTGGTGCTTGTTTCTCCACCTTCACCAGCAACTGGCGAACTCCCGCCGTGGACTCTGGACCTTCTGAGACCTGTGTCCTCCTCGAGCAACCGGAGCCCATCATCCTTTGCAAAGAGCTGGTCCCTGCCGAGGCACCGCAAAAACGGGACGGGACTAGAGGAGATGATTGGGAGGCCACATAGATGTTCATGATCCTGCAGATAGCGAGCTTTTGGATGGTTTCTTTTGGGCAGAGGTCAGAAGTGTCGGTTTCGTGTCCTCCGGAGTGTAAACCGCAAGACTGGGCCGCCGTGCAGGCTCCATGATGCTCCAGGATGACCGCTGGTTGTCCAGACGAAGTCCATTAACACTACCATATATTCAACTTAATTACCTCTATTATAACCATTATTTGGATGATTTTGGATGTATTTTTTGTATACTATATTATATTGTTTTATCTAAATATCCACTAATCATTGCTGCCACTCTGAAATCTCATTCCACAGGGCCAACGATCCATACAACCGGTTTTTCAGCACAGGCCCCTTTTTTCAGCAAAACATGGCAACACCATCTTTTTTCAAGGGCTCATTTTGGCAGGTTCCGTTTCGACAGATGAACGACAGGTGTTCCTCCATGTGTTCCGAAAAGCTTTGGTTCGTTCGAATCCACAGCTCCTCCGTCGGGCTCTCGTCTCTCGGATCGTCTCAGGTGCTGAGGAGCTATCCACTTCAGGGTCGGCTGCGCCATGCGCAGACCTTGGAACCGCGCCTTGGACGCACCGCGGTCGACCTTGGACCGTACGGGGAAAGACAGACCTTGGACCGAACCGAGTTCGAGTCGAAGGGGTTGGAAGAAAAAGATGTAAAAGACCCTGAAGCAGTGCAATTTTCACCTCAAGGACTTGGACACGAACGATGAAACTGGGACATTTGCATACATGTGTTCATCACTCTGGGAAACTTAAAGGTGCATCTATGCTTTTTTTCCTAACTCAGCTTTGTGTTTAGGTACCTGTTTGCCTTTGATGTTCTTGTTTTTGGTACATCATAGTACTTCCTAGTACCAGATCTACCGTATGAGATTGTTCATGCATGTTCATACTATTGGTGAGTTTCTGGTGGTGGATTTGCTGAATTGCACAGGGGAGGAACTTCCGTTGTCAATTGTACACTTGGTCGTTCAACAAAGATCCAGGCTCATGCTAAATCCATTCTTGAGGTGGCCAAGATAGTGGTCACGAGGAAGTTGATCATTCCTTCCCCAAGTAGATGCTGGTCAAGATCATCAATCCTTCCCATCATGGGCTTGATTCATGGGCTTTATCATGATGGTCAAGATGTTTCAATTGAAATGGAACAGGCCCGAGATCTTCAATCCTTCGGAGGGTCGAATGAAGTCTGCATGGCGGAGAAAAAGCCGGGTCTTTTCGACCTGAATCATTGACAAGTCCAAGCCTTTCCGAATCATGCAAAGTTCCAAAGACCATTCTTGGACCCTCATTCTTGGAGGTTTTGAATGGTCTTTGGAACTTTGCATGATTCGGAAAGGCTTGGACTTGTCAAAACCTCCAAGAATGAGGGTCCAAGGATGCTTAAAGGCTTATAGGAGATGTTTTCTATGTTCTGTCTCCCACGTCTTTGTGTTTTCTTCAGGTTCTTCGGGCTCACGTGGAACGGGACACGGGACACGTCTTCGATTTTGCGCCTGAGGATTTGGCGCCAGGATGCGCAACGGTGGGCCGCCGAAGGGCCGCAGAAGGCACCCAAAGGTGCGGACAGGGCGTTCTCTCCCATATTATTTCATAGCTTTATACTATATGCGATCATATGCGATATATTGAGATGTTACAAGGTATTATTGGATTTATTGTGTATATATTTGGATATATTTGGAACATTTAGGATATATATATATATACACATGTAAAAATAGAATATGAACCGCTGAACCATTATGGGAAATTCTATGCGATAGTATGCGATATATTGATATTTTACAAGGTATTATTGGACATTATGGCGTATATAAAGTTTGGGTATGTTTGGAGCATTTAGGATATATATATATATAACTATATATGGTTTCCCGCCCCCGGGAGTAAAGAGTAATGCACCTTAAATTTATGTTCTGTAGTGTTTTGGCTTGAATAAGCGGGTGCAAAGGGTGCAACAAGTTGGAAAGGCTTGTTTTCACGAGGTGCCCTCCACACTCTGCGGATGAGCTCGTACAGTGCATGAAGAAGGTCAACGAGACAGTAGAGTCGGCGTGTGAGAAGTTTGAAGCTGACCGCACTGCAGGTTACGTCGATCTGCACGGAGCGCCAGTCTTTGCTACAGAGGGTGACAAGCAAGCAACTTACAGAGGAGCAGGAGCGGGGCCTAGACCCTTTGAGGAAGGAGTTCACAAAGGAGGAAAGGACAAGGAGGCTGCACCTTCTCAGATCCCAGTGAAAAAAGAGAAGGACACCGAATCAGGCAAGGAGCCCTTGGTGGAGCCGAAGGAGGAGACACCAGGAAAAAAGGATCGTTCTCGTCGTCGCCGGAGGTCACGGACAAGGTCACACAGATCGCGTTCGAGGCGCAGGAGCAAGAAAGAGGACAAGAAGGAGAAGCGGGGCACACCTAGCCCTGAAGCAAAGAAGGAAGCGAGCCCCGTCTGGAATCCAAAGGCAGAAGAAGAAGAGGTTGAAGAGACGTTTGAGGAGCCGGAGTCTTCTCCAGAGGTTGTCGAAGACGACAGGGAATCAGATAGAAAGTACGTGCTTAGCCGCACTGCCAAGCCGTCAGCAAGGAAGAACACCTTCCCATTCGCCACCTGGCTACCACGACCAGAATCAGCGAGACGAACACAGACCCAAGCGCTGAAAAGGATATAAAAACGTCCTTCGAGGCCAGTACTACGCAATTCACGGCTCAGGCTGTGGTAACGGAGGAGGAAAGGGATGGCGCTGAAAGTGATGCGGAGACCAGCCGCTGTTCTACGAGGAGCAGGGGCATTGAGGCGGCCAGCAGCAGGCCGAGACGAAGAGCGGGGGATCGACCGTGGAGCGGTGGAAGAGCTAGAGATTGGTACTCTGATATTTGGAGAGGAGGCCAGCTATTTCAGCAATGCCTGCCAATTCTCATGGAGGATCATGGAGGAGTTCAGAGATCATTTGGGCCGCTACTGCATGGTCAAGATCTTGGGAATGAATTTGGAGTCGCTCCTGACGTGGGCCAGCGGGTTCACCTATGCCAAGGTTCACCTATGCCCTGCAGATTGTGGACACGATGCCGATTCACTGTGGAAAATATCGGGGGATGAGGGCGCTGGAAGAGTTGGGAGACCATCCATGGAGAGATGTGCTCGTGAAGGTCGCAGCGAGAGAAGACGACGAGCTGGCAGCCCTCAGAGGACGCATGGAGGATCTACCAGGCCCAGCCGTAGACGGTCGAGAAGCTGGGGCAAAGGAGAAGAAGAAGGAGGACGCCAAAGGAAAATACAAAAATAAAAAAGGACGCACAAACGAGACCGTCGGAGCTCAGGGTCGTCGGAAGGAAAGAAGCGAAGGCGCGACCGAAGCGTGTCCAGTCGTTCGGAAGAAAAAAGGAAGACCAAGAGGAGGAAGAAGGAGATCGAGGAGGCCGGGGCAAAGAGCCCTGTGAGGAGCAGTTCAACGACCACCTCAAAGTCGCGGAGACAGAGTTCATGGCCGTGGACCAGAAGACATGTTCGGAGGAAGCGGCCTCGATCCATCAAGGCGGATTCGGAATCGGCAGCGACGCAAAGCCCAGAGGTATGCACAGAGGAGCCGACCCAAGAAGGACGAGAGCGGGAGCAAGTCCAGCGAGGCAGGAGTTAATGCTCCTAGATGTGGGACAAGAATCCACCCAACAAGAGAGCTGGTCACCAACGCTGGTCACCAACGCAGCTGAAGTACTACAGGCAGATGCTGAGCCGGAAAGTCGACGCTGCCACTTTGGCGTCCCGCCAGGAGCTTCGCACCGCCACCGCAGAGCAACGCGCCGAAGTTCAAGCCCATCAGAGTGGAGCATGGTGGACGAAAGGTCAGGGAAAAGAGGGGCCAAGAGGGGCACAAAGGCGAGAAGGGCGACAAAGGAAAAGGCAAGGGCAAGAAGGGAAAGGAGAAGCCGAAGAAGGATCAGTGAGGGAGAGAGGAGCGGGGCTTGTGGTCCCTGACTATGAGATGAGCAGGAGCAATGCCTGGGCAGATGATCAGGCGGGGCGGATGAGCCCTGGAGAGGAGGTGAAAAGGCGGGGCAGGGTTTGCTGCAGAAAAGAGGTGGATGCTAGACAGCCGGTGGCGCCTATTTCAAGAGGCTGACGCTTGCTGATTCTGGCCATGGAAGGTTTTCACGGAGGCACTACGATGGCCTGAGATGCTTGGAGGCTTGAACCTTTGCTGGGCGTTCATCGAGTTGTTCAGTGTGGGCGCCATACCCTACCAATACTCAGGGGAGTTAAGCTTGAGGTATACCGTTTTTTGTGTCTCATTCCCGTGTGCCACATGAACTTCCGCTTGAACCTGGATCCAACCATTACCTGTAGCGATGCTTCACAGCATGGAGGAGGGGTCTGCGTGGCAACAGGGTTGACAAAATTCGGTGAGCAAGTGGCCGGCGGGGGAACTCCCTGGGAGATGCAAGACTGTCGCGGAGGACGAGTTCTGAGTGTGGGGCTGTTTGATGGAATTGGATGCTTGAGAACCGCTTTGGACCTGTTGGGGTGTGACGTGGCCGGGCACATCTCAATCGAGAAGGACCCAGCAGCAAGGCGGGTAGTAGAGCATGATCCAGAGACCCTTCATTACCCCGACATGGCGCAGGTTGAAGAGAAGGAGGTGATCCAGTGGGCATTGACCTATGGACAGGTGGAGCTGGTATTGATCGGGGCGGGGCCACCCTGCCAAGGCGCTGAATAACCAGAGGAAAGGCGCCCTGCGGGATGAGAGATCCTGTCTATTTACACACGTCCAGCGGGACCTGGAAGGCAATCCCTGTATCCAGTCCCGGTTGATGAGGCCGCCTCTTCGGCCCAATCAGACATAAACCCAGGGACCTGAACATGCTCTAACTGATCAACTGGGGCGATTGGTTTCCACCAAGGGGGCAGACTTGATGCTCAACAGCACTCCTGACGAGATTCAAGGACACCAAGACTGCGACATACCATCAACCCAAAGATGTGGAGGTGGAAGGCCGTCTCCAGTTGGAAATGGTCCGGTCGGGGTGAACGCATTCATTCCCTGGAGTTGCGATGTCTCCGGTGGAGATTGGAAAATTTGCAGAACCATGACTAAGGCCAAAAGTTGTCCCAATAACCATGCTACCACAGGCACTGACCAATTTCCGACCAGGCTGAGGCATTTGTCATTGTATTCGGCCTTCTTCCGCTGTGACGCATCTGAGTGTAGCACACCTGAGTGTAGCCCACGGGCAATCCCATCATATATGCCCGTTCATGGATGGAAGGAATCCGATACACCCCTTTGCGGTTCACCAAACAATGGCGAGGAAGATATTGGTATGGTCGCGAAGCTGCAAATGTCGGGAAGGCTTGGTTTGGATCCACCTTTGTCAATCCCGCTTCAACGGATAGCTCCCAGGGCTGATCCCCGCGTCAGCGTACGGCCATGGATCGAGACATCTGTACTGTTTTCATGGATCTCCCACGCTAATCAGTATAAACGCGGCCGATTGCACCATGTCAAGCTACTTGCATCACCTCACTGATTCACTCGTCTGCTTGCGCAGCATATGACTAGGGGAAGGACTTCGGGCAAGCGCCTTAGAAGAACCTTGTGCCGAATAAACTCGCTCTTGCTAGCTCATAATGTCAGTGGCCTCTGGGGGTACGTGAGTACCGATCTCAAGCCGGCGGATCGTCCGTCGCGGTGGTCGGTACAAACCAAGTTTCGCCATCCCAAAGGTCGTCTTTGAAGGCGGCGCCCAGGCCAGAAGAGCTAAGGCAGTTAACGGTTCAACCGTCCACAGGAGTCCGCCATGAGAAAGCGCTCAACCGCTTTTTGACCTTCCTTAAGGCCGAAGGCCTGCTGAGACCCTAGTCGTTGTGAGCACTTGGATCCTTTAGTCATGGAATACATAGAACACCTATGGCTCTCGGGGGAGGGCGCGGTCTGGCCGCCGACGCCCTGGCCTCGTTGCAGGACCATGATCCAAAATACGGGGTCATCTCCCTGGTGCATGGAGATTAGTGAAGACGTGCATGGGTCACCCACGAGTTGCCCAGTCGTGCCCCGCCGGTCCCCGAGCAGGTCTTGCATAGTATGGTAGGACGGGGCCTTTATCATGGTAATTTCGCTCTCGCAACGAGCCTTCTTTTATGCTTTTGCGGCATTTTGCGCACTGGTGAACTGTTGGACGTAGTTCGGTTTCCAAGAAATTGCGGACTGCTGTCATTGCCCTAGGCCTCACCAAAGCTAGTAAACGAGCAGGGGTTCAGGAAAGTGCGTCGATAGGTCATGATATTGCCTTCCGTTATGTGCAGCATTGGGTGACTTTAGCGCGATGGCGTAAATTGTTTAAGACTTGCATTGAGAGCCTTCAGCTGGAAACCCTTGAACTCAGACCCTACTCACGGCAATCTGGACCGAGTGATGATTTTGGGACGTTGGCAGGCCCAGAAAACAGCACGCCTGTATCTTAACGAGTCCCGAGCCATTTTGGCCGAGAGGAAACTCGGACCACTTGAGAGACGTTTGGCACCCTTTCGCACCTCTTTTCAGAATTCAGACTTCAGACAATTTGAAACACTTGAGCCGTTGCAAAGCAACAGGCCGACCTCACGCAAGAGAGGTCTGGGAAGAAGCATCCGCTAAACCAGCAAAGAAGTGAGAACAAATGCTGGTGTCCCCTGGGGCCCGGCCAGGGTCTGGGGTGTGGCCCACCTGGTCAGGGGGGGACGATTATCCGGAAACGACCCCTTCCTCGTTGTGGACCGGGAAGGGGGGGGGATAATCAACTCGTTCTTATTGGGAGACCATTTTTGTTTCCAACTTTTGTTATATTCTGTGATCGTGGTGGAGATAGGGTGCTTGGAAAGCTGGCGAACTGCGGGGCAGTTGACTTTGGAGCCAACATTGTCGCGCAGGCCCTCATTCCAAAGCTGTGGATGTGGTTGATGGAGCTTTGCGCGAACATCCGTATGCCTCGAAGATGATGTAATTTTAGTTCTCCCCAGCTATGATGACGAGTGGTTCTTGCAAGCAAAGATCTTGCAAGCTGCCAGCCTTCCAAGGCGCCGGTGTGGGAAAAGTTCACTTGTTGTTTCGTTTGATACGAATGCTTCGCAGTGATTGCTGGGCTGCATGTCTTTTAGCTATCGAAGGGCCAGTGGCACGTCGCCCTGAAGGGTCAATATGGTTTGAACCAATCAGATCTATTCTTGAAGCGCCAGATTCACAAACCTTGTTATGAGTCGCAATACAGCATGGAGCTGGTGCAGTCCAGAAAAATCTTTTGCATGCTTTTGCTAACTGGGGTCTATGCTGGTGTAATTGTTATCTTTTTAAAGGATATTTCAATAAAGTACCAAGACATTGCTACATTAAGTTAAAGGTTGTAGTTTAGATTGTTAAGCAATATAACGAAGATATGTGTATTACAATTAAGATTTCAACAAGGTATTGCTATTGTTTCCTAGATATAGCGTGAACTATTGGGGTTTTTACTTCAAATAATTATAGGAAGAGCTGCAGGTGTGCGTTTTTGAGCCCTGGGTGCTGGTGCCGCTGCACTTTGAACGTCGGGTGCTGGTGCCACGTGTCCCTTGCCCTGTGCACTTTGAACCTGGGGTGCTGCGGGTGCTGACCCACAGAACTTTTTGTGCTATTTGAGGTCTATTTTGTTAAGATATTGTTATATTGATAGCCTTAAGATATTAAGATATTACTATTTAGGAAATATTGATATGATTATTGTTCTATTATGACATTTAGGCTTATTATAAGAATGACATATTATGGGATATTATTGCGTAAATTGATTTACTGTAAGAATTTGCCAGGCCATGCGCCTTTTGAAATACCATGAATAATTTGCTGTTCAATACCGAATAGTTTTTTGGCTGAGAACGGCTGACCGATGCTGAGGCCATAGATAAATAATGCCCTTGTTGGAGTCACTAAGTGACCTTTTACAAACCCAGGTGACCTCAAATTGGGAATAACTGGGATATCATGGGGTCCAGTTCACCCAAATCATACCATCCAAGGACACTTTGCACCACTTCATGGGGGACTTCATGGTCTGCATGGTGTGACCCTGGCCACCCAATTACGAACACTGCATGGGACTAGAATGTGCCTATGTTGGGGTAGTTTTAGGGGTGAGTGTAGGGTCATTTATGGCTGTGGGTCACACCCATAACACGTTTTGACCCAACTGGAAGGTCGGTCGCTACATGGTGGACTGGTTGGGCTCCAGGCTTTGACAATCCCTATATACCTAGGCGGAGCGTATGAAAGACGATTCACCCCTTCCACCACTGACGATTCTTGGAGGCGTGCTGTGACCTGAACTCTTCATTTTTCGAAGCTGCAACCAGCCTTTTGGGTCTAGCTAGTCGCCTACATGGAATCATGGAAGTGAAAAACCCACTAATTACCTGTTTGGTATTTGTAAAATCGCCATCCAGCGGTCCATTCTCATCCGTTTTCTACTTCCATGATGACTTGAGGGAGGTGTATTCAAGATCCCGACCATCGGATTCGGTCCATGCCAGGACCATCAGTCCAGGGGCCTCAACTGCCCCGTGCCATGGTCGCCAAGGACAGCGGCCGAAGCGTAGGGCGTAGGACGAGTCAGCAATGAGAGGTTGTGCGTTTGGTTCGGTTTAGCTACGACAGGTGGTCCAAGATCGGGCTGTGCTTCTGCAAGACATCCAAGAGATTCTCCTGGTTTACAGATGTGGAACCCGTTCCCTGTAGTGGAGGAGTCACGAGGATTCCGTCCTTGTCTCTCTTTCCGTGCAATGCCTTCTTCGCCTTGAGGAGGATGTGTGCAGCGATCCTGAAGCAGAGCTCATGGGTGCCAAGTGTGGGGAGAAGTTCACGGTGCTGGCAGAGGAAGATGACAAGGTGCAGATGTGGGAGGAACTCCGAGTGCTCCCGGAATTCGTTGATCTGAAAAAGCTGGGAAACTCCCAATCCCCCAAGCGGAACACATGTCAGAAAATGCGTGTTTTCAACATTCCTGTATACAATTTATGCCCCATACGTCTTTTTGGCCCAATTGGACTGATCCTCATTCCCAGTTCGATCTAGATGCAGTGACCTTTTTTTCGAGGCTTCATCACCGGTCCGTCTTAGGGGACTGCAAAGGTCATGACCTCCGAATCTGACTCCTCGAAATCTGACTCCCTGACCTGGCAGGTCTGGGCTGCCAGGGAAGGAGGTGGTGAAGGATGGCTGCTTGGGCGCCGAACTGTTTCCTTTTTTCGTTTCGGATCCTTCCATTGCTTCATCAACCGAGAAGAGCAGAACTGTGAGCCGAGTGAAACGGCGGGGTGAACCGGAAAGAGCCCGGTCCGACTCTGGGGACGAGTCGATCCACATGTCTTAGACCGACAGACACGACTTAGCGACCGGAACCTGAACACCAAACTGGAAGACGGTGTTCCTTTACAAACTAGTGGGTGTAACTGCTATAGTAGGGGAGAGCCGGGTAGAACATGGAAGTGAAGTTCATCCCCCGTTGGTAAACGAACATGTTCTTTCCATGGGGCCGGTGGCCATGCCATCCACTTCCATGATTGTTTCAGGGGGGAGAGTTGGGCAATTGCCGCTATTCCATTGCCCGCTCTCAGTACACGTCAATAGCCGCTTGCACCATGCAGCTAGCCGCAAAAGTCCGCGACATGTCCAAGAGATTTTCGGTGCTCACGCGAAGAGGAGAAGGTAAGGTCAATACCTGGGCGACAAAGAAACGTGAGAGATTGCAATGAGAAGGAAGATGCGAAAATAACGGTATTATGATTGGATGCAGGGGCAAAGATGACACCAATGACAAGACTATGAGTTGAAACCGAGGACAATGTCATTAAACCGGTGAGAATATTATGACACCGATGACAATGTTGTGAGAATATTATGAAACCGATGACAATGTTGTGAAAGCCGATGACAATCTTATGAACACCGAGGACAATCTTATGAACACCGATGACAGTCTTGTGAAAACCGACGACTGAACCTTGATGACGAGAGTGTTATGAAACCGATGACAATGTTCCGAAAAAAGATGACAGTATTATGAACACCTATGAGAATGTTGGAGCAAGTAAGGCATTCCCAGGGCCATGCGACGGACAACCATCCTAGTTTTCCGGGACCATGAAAAGCGAGGTTGACAGTTATATAACCTGACGTTGTAGCCTAAACACCTGTAAAAACCCATATACATAATTACAGTTTAATTACAATTGTTTATGGCATTCCCGCCAAGAAATCAATGACGGTTGGAATCGACTGAAGAAAGGACAGCTGGTGGTTTACCGGAACCAAGGATGCTGAAATCGCAGCTGGTGAAGAAGCTTCCGCCTTGGAAGCTGAAGGCAGGAAACCGATAATCTTGTATGCATTTTTTGTTAACTCAGGTGAGACCTCCTTTGACCTTGAACACTTCGATGAGTTTAGACACAAAACTGTTAAACGGACCCGTGCTTCAACTGAAAGTTTTTGAACGGAACATTTAGTGATGTGTGTGTAGGTTTCACACTCGCCGTGGGGATGATCAATGTTCCCTTTTTTGTTGCTGCTGTGCATGCCCTCCGACTTGGGTGAAGAGCTTCAAGTGCACTCATGAGTTCTATTTCATATTGACCTTTAGTTATTTATGGATGTCTATTGAAGCAGGATGAAATAGCGGGACATCCCTTCAAAGACCGGAGAAAACAACCAGCCGATGTCCGTCATGTCTGAACCGCGCCGAGGGGAAGCCTTCCAAGGAGCCTGGGAGCGGAGATGTCGAGTGTCACCGGCCAGTGGAAAAGCAACCGGATCGAACCGATCGCGGACCGATGGTCAGACATGGCGCTAGGCCCTAGGCGCCGCCCTGGACCAAGAAAACCTTTCGTGGCTTCGACAGGGAGACCACCCACTCGGAGGATGGGGGTGGAACATGTGGAACCAGGCAACCAGGCAGGTGCAAATGGAACCTGAGTTCAATCAACTGCACAGATGCAATCCCAATCCCCTCGGTTCGGTGAGCCCTTGTCGGTTCGGGTGTGAGGAAATCTCAAGTTTGCGAAAACGAAGTGAAGAAGCTGGTCTCAGTACTGTTTCAGAGTACCCTAAGAATCCGAGTCCGGGCTCGATCCCCCCATGGTGTGCCCAACACCTTCACAGGTGGGTGTGCACCTGTCGCCCTATTTGTTTAAGGGCCCGGATTCTTAGGGTAGATGCTTTATATGGACGGCCCATCTTCTTTTTCTGGCCGACTCTCGCTACAGTACCCCTGCTGCGCAAGCTGCGCACGAGTTGTTGCGCTCGGCAGCCGCGTTTCGCGGCGCAGGAGCCGCCGCCGCTTCGGCGCATGGTGGCGACCCGCGCCGTCGAAGCCGGCCGCGGCCTGCTGAGCTTGGTGGAGGGACAAGAGGCCACATGGGTGAGCGATGGCGGGTAGCGGGTGGCCGGCAGTGGTGGACATCCCACCCAGTAGAAGATATAGCAGCCTATTAATTATATATATGTTTAAATATAGTCTAGATCTATATTGTATGCATATCACATCAAAGATGATGAAAGTACACAGTTTTCTCTTTTCTTTCAGCCTTTGGTTTTGGGGTTCCACAAGTCTTAGTAATGCCTTTACATTGCGCTTTCCTTGTTGTTCCTGGGTGGGCGAACGACGATTTTGGTAGGTCTTCGGTCTATCCAGTTCCCACTCATGCCAGCACACACTCACAAGCTCTCACAAGGCCAAAGGAGGAGAATTTCCTCAAAGTCCGCTTTGTGAATACATGTCTGGCTAAGGAAGTTGGTAGAGCAACTGTCAATGTTTTGAACACGATTGGATATGTTCGTTTGCGGAACATTGTTGCCTTTCTTGCTCTTTGATTTTCTACCTTTTTTTAAATATTCAATCATCCAGCTAAGAACCCATGGAATAGAACATACGCATAGAACGTATATATAGTTATAACAAAAACCATGGACTTTCCAAAGCGTTTGCACTCGAAAATGCACTTGCACACTCATGGCATTTCATCGCAGATCTGCCGTAGACCGCAGAGCTCGCAGGTGCTGGTGCTCCTCATGGACGGCTTTTGGGCCTGTGCCTGCGACGACTCGTCGGGCCTGGTGGGCCTGGTGCCGGTGAATGCGCTGGCGGAGCCTTGGAGTGGAGGAACGTGTTGAGGTCGTTGAGGTCGTTGAGCCGCCGATTGCCGAAGGGGTGAAGCGGGGGGATGTGCAGAAGCTGAGACAGAAAACCGTAGAAAGACATGTGAGATGTTTGAAGCAAGAATGGTCACTAGTTACTTAGTTACGCGTAGTGATGGATAGGTGGCTTGGAGATGTGCTTTGAAGGAAGACATTCGACAGCCCCTGAGATGAAGAGGTGGGTGTTTCGGAGTCTTTTCAAACAAGAAGGATTGGACTTGGAGAAGGCACAAACAAGCACCTGACATACGACTCCAAACCCGGGAACACCGGGATCGCAGCGGGCCGGCATGCGAAAAGCATTCCGTCTTTCGTTCAGAAAAGACAATCCCGAGGTGTTGTCCTCCTTCTTCTCATGCTAATTGGACCCCAATGAAGTCATGTTCAAGTAATGTAGACAGGCCGCTAGCATATCTTTATGTAAACATAATTCAAGGAACACATCATTTAATTAAGAACATCGATATATGTTTTAGTGACGTTTTCATATGTTTTCCTGATATTTTCCAACACACCATTTTGTTTTTTTCGACCCCGTCGACTAACCATTTGAGACTTCCGCTGAATCTGCGATCCTTTGCTCAAGAAGCTTGACCGATGAGGCAACCAGCCCAGTCACAGCCGCTTTTCCAAACTGTTCCTTTCTATATCATATTTTTTGCCTAACTATCGACTCGAACTCTTATTCAGCAAGCAGGTTGCATCAAGAACTTGCTGCAACACGAATGAGATTTCTCACAGATCGACGCTCGATGACACGATTTCCACACATTACAAAACTGCAACATCAGCAGACACCCCCATCCCAAAAGAGGTGATTCCGAGGTGCACATCACATGTTTAGCACCAATCTGCCCTCCATCTACAGCCCAAGCGGTGCCACTCCTCCACTCCTCCACTCCTCCAATCCTCCACTCTGCCTGCTGCGATGTGCAGCACGCGCGTGTTCCGCGCTGCGTGAAGCACCGGGCGCGCGTGACGTGAAAAACGCTGTGCCGGAGCTGGTAGACTCGATGAATGGAAGGCGCCACGTGGCCTGTTGCCGTTGTGGTCCTGTTCCAAGATCTTCCAAGATGGGGTACCCTAAGGCCCCAAGCCATGGCTACTCCCCCCCCAAAAAGAGACCACTAAATCATATAGTATATACACCAAAATCCAACACCCACAGGTCTCTGTCTGTCTCTTGCTGCCATATCCTCATGAGCAGTTTTTCCCATATATATATATATATGGTACATTATAGTTATTCTGACTCTGGCAGAAGGACGGAGACTTTAATTATAGGCTCATCAGACATATACTAAGCTTATCTAAGCTTGTTCAAGCTGGCATCAATGACTCAATTGATGAGTATGGTTGTCATCCCATGTGACCACAGGCGCCCACGTCGAATGGAAACTCCTCCTCCTCGCCACTCGCACGGTCCGGCGCCAGGTGCTCCCAGTCTTCCGCTGCCACCACTCTTCCTGCACCGCTGCCATGGTCAGGAGCCGCCACTGCGAGGACTTCGCCTCCAAGGTCCGCCGAGGGCGGCAGAGGGGCGGAGCTCAAATGCTTGATGCTCCTGACATCCACCCCCCGCAAAGGATCATCGTCATCATCGTCTCTTTTTTGGAAGGAACTCAACCGCTCTAAACTAGACGTTTTACAGGTTTTTAGGATGCAGTCTCCGAGAATTGCACCTCCGTAAATGCTACACAGTTGGCTCCAAACAACTTGTTTTACTTGTGTTTTCCTCAACATGGTTGTTGGTCTCCCAGTTGTTTAAGGCGAACGTATAGCTTCCAAAACGCTGACAAACCCAGTTGTTTAGGCGAACGTATAGCTTCCAAAACGCTGACAAACCCTGCTTTTCCATCCACGAAGAAGGACAAAGCTCACGAGCAGAAGGTGCAGTGAGGAGAACCTGCCCATTTGGGTGGAACATGAACACATGGCATTTGCCCTAAGAATCCGCGCCCGGTTCGCAACACATAAGGGTTTGCTTTCCGGCCCTCCGGGGTCTGACTGCGGCCCGTGATCCATTCTTGGGGTAGAACAGGAATCCACGCGTCCAACGCGATGTTTTTTCTACGATCATTTCTACTCCAAGCAAAGAAACACTCTGTCGAGCCAATTTTGGGATTTGGGACATCTTTGTTGTCAGATTTAGGAACCACACATCCAGGCAAAACCCTAAACTGGCACCGGCAGACTGACCACTGACCAGACTGACTTCGTACCACTCGGTACAGGCTCGGCAGAGAGGGCAGCCGAAAATTTCAATGCACATGGCGATCATTCAGCAGCTCAGCAAAAGTTGAGATCATCGGTCGAAATGTTCCAACCAAACATAACAAGGATAAAGTATATGTATCAAAACAAGGAAGGACAAATCAATAAACACCCTCTATATAAAACCCAGTGGCTCCAGCTCCAATTCTGATACACACCCACTTCAACCGTCTCAAGCCATTTGGCTCGGTTTCGGTATTTTCGCAACCGAATTGAAGCCTTTGGGGCTGGGGCAATGGAAATTCAAACACTCTCAGGTGCCACTGTCACCCAGCTTCAATGTTGGAGAGTGAAGAATCTGTTTCGGATTCGTTCTGAAGCTGGCTGGTCGGGTTTGGATACGCTCGTACTCTCTGCTGCTGACAAAGACTTTTGAGCGAAGGCGGGGCGATTTGTGGGACACACGCTATCAAGTGTGAACACCTGGAGTTCTTACACCGTCTGGGAGACCGTCAGGGAGGATGTTCTCTCCATCCGTAGAGAACATCGAGCTTTTGAAGTTGCAAGATTGTTTCAGAAGCCTCCACCTATCCGGATGGGAGTGGTTCGGACACCTCCTATCGATTTGGCAGAATGGGGTCCATTCTGGAAGTGGTGCGGTTGTTGCTGGAGCTGACAAGAATCCTGCAAATGGGGAAGCAGTTGCAGCTCTTCATGGCTGCTTGGAAGTGGTGCAGTTTTGCTCAAGACTGGAGCTGATGACGCATGTGGCAAGGGCAGAGGAGGCAAAGGCGTAGGCCGGCAACGGCATGACGACGGCTGACTGCATGACTGCAATTGCTGCGCGTCTTTAGACTGCGAGAACAACACTTGAAGAGAGAGGGAACACTCTCCCGCAAGGACAGACATTGGAGATCAAGGTCCAAAGGTGGTTAGGGTTCGGGGGACAACAGGTCAGCGCAGGCAGCATTGATCCTTCAGAACCCTTTGGTAGTAGAAGATGGAGTCTGGAAAGGACACTCGGGTGCTTGATTCTTCAAGAGTGTCAAGGACCACACGATAAAACAGAAAGTGGAACTTGGACAATTTGCAGAGCTCGAGTGTCTTTTCGAAACCACAATTGCACGGAAGAGATCATGCACCAGACCTCTTTAAGAAATCTTGAGAATGTATACTGTTGTTCAAGACAAACACAATCATTATGATGCATGCAAGCAGACCAACATGGACCCTCATACCGGTTTATAGAGGAAAGACGCTCCAATCCAATGGTTTCCATCCTGCATTGGAGGAAAATCTCACAGCTATTCATTGGACGCCACGGGTTTTCTCCAGGTTTTCTCCGTAACGGCTCACACACTTTCGTGCGACGTACACGCGGTAGAAAACCACCCCGTGCAGGGCAAACAAACACCGATGTGAGCTGAACACCGAGGAGAGCCTCCTGGGGCTCGGTTGCTTCTTCGATCGGACTTCGCTCTTCGCCCCGGGACCCCAAGCGTTGGCGAAGGGCGTAGAGCCCACGACGCGTCGGTCGTTTTCAGCAGCGATTTGGCGGCTTTCGCGGTGGGTTTGGGGATGCCGAAGCGTCCAGAACGCTTGAGGTGTGCCGGCGCTTCATGTTTGGATCATGTCATGATTAACGAGTCTTCTGTGAGAGATCCGATCAACAGTGGAGGACCCAGATGAAAAGGTCCTGGGTCTGGGGCGGACCACGCAAGCCGCTCAGCTGTTCCATCATGGTGTAGGGTTTACCAGCAGAGTTTGCGGAGGTCAAAAAAGGTTCGTTGTTTCTACCACTGATCCTCCCTGCAGGATAGATTCCTATCTATAGCACCCAGTTTTCAGGGTCCATGTGAATGTGGTCCTCTGCAGGGGGGTGATCCTAGCACTTTTGGCAAGTGCAATGTCACTTCGCTTCGACGCGGTTCGTCGCTTCGATCTCCTCGCTTCGCTCACGCCGTGGCGTGTTCGACGGGGTATTCAGAGTTCGGCGCGAGGTGTTCGGCCGCCCATGAGGACGTGCCCAAGCATGCTCCGTATACGGTGAAACCAAGGTGGTTGGGGATGGTTCAGGTGGGTTGGGAGGGTTGATGTAACTAGCTTCTGGGAACATGATCTCATGAGTACGGTGAAGAGACGATGGTGGAGACGCTGGAGAGTTTTTCAAAACTGGAAAGACCCAAAGGCCTAGGAGTTGGGTGTCCCATCAATACCAAGAGTGAGTGAGTGGAAGACCCAGCTGGCATAGTCAATGGTTGGTATGTATTGGCCTATCATCATCATCATCATCATCAGCAGCAGCAGCAGCAGCATCATCATCACCATGACCATGACCATGACCATCACCATCACCATCATCACTATCACCGTTATCATCAACGGTCATTTGGAGACGTCCTCCAACAAACTCAACATCAGCCCCTGGGCTTCACATCGCAAACTCGACTTCCAAAAAAAGATGCTTGGACCAGACATGACAAGAAGTTCGAAGAAGACCCCACCTAAACCTGGAGGACCTTTCTGGGTGTTGGGACCTGGTGGTTGGTTGGTTGGTTGCTTGGTTGGCTTGCTTGCTTGGTTGGACCGCTTGGACCGCTTGGGTTGGTTTTCTAACCCCAGATACACTGGATCCGTGTCACCTGTTGCCCCACCACGTTAGCTCGGCACCGCTGTGCCACTCCGAGCGAGCGCTCCGCGGTGCCGCAGCGAGCTCAGGTTGAGACGGCGGACCAGCAACTGGTCCCCGTCGCCGGGGAACTCAGAGGGGCAGATGCAGCGGTTGGCCACTGGAGGTCGATCGCCACTGGTGGCGAAATGGGGCAAAAGACCCGCAGAGAGGCCCCAGATCCCTGAAGTTGATGCCTGGTAGCTAGATGGGGTGTGTATGGCTAGATTTTTTGGCCTGGCTGGGTAGACTGGTCGATTTTACATTCCTTTAAGAGGATCAATCTGGGACGGTCTCCCTATGTTTATGCACATCCACCTGGTTTTCGTCAGGGTTATCTTCCTCCCTGGTATGGAAGCTGGCCGATTTCGGTCAGGTTAGATATTTATCTCCAAGGCATTTTGCATTCCCGTGTGCAAAAGTAGGACGAGGACGTATATAGGGGACATCCCAAGTCTTAGTTGCTCAGTGATTCATGTGGCTGTTGATGTCACCTCTTCAGTGCTAGCAATGCCAGCGGTTCAAACAATGCGACTCATCGTTTTGTAGAAGGTTTGACTCCTAAATCCTTTTCTTCCTTGCTCTGACAAACTGCCATTTTGTGATGCAAACTGCCACCTGGACTTTGGCACTTCGTTCCTCCTGTCTTCCGCGGGAGAATCCGGGGATCTGGTGCCGTCCGGAGAACAGGGGACCGCAGGATCCGGCCGTCCAAGCGGCGCATTCGGTCGGTGGGAACGTAGGAGTCGCGGGGAACCCTGTGAGATGAAGACTTGCGATGGCCTCTGCCTAAGAGCTTCTAGCTACTAGTAGTAGTGGCCTCCAACCTAGCGATGGCCTCCAACCTGGAAGCTTGCGTCCTAGAGTTGGTGAGAGGGAAGATGGCACCAGACCGACCGGGCACGAGTTGGTGAGTTCCCGAGACACGACCGGCTTCGTCCGCTTGGTGGTGACGGTGGGACCTGCCGGCGGGTCCAGTCCTTCAAGGTCTAAGACTCCTGGCAGTTTCCTCGGCCCCAGGTGCCAGCTCGCTCGCAGCGAGCGCAAATGATCGGTATGTAGACAATCCGGAAACGGGAAGATCCGGAACATGGAACCCGGTCCAGCCACAGGTCGAGCAGCTCTTCCTTTCTGAAGTGAGTTGTCACCCCATCCACAGCGCCTCTCGGTAGAGCGTCTCCATGGGGCCCGGGCATGGTTCAAATGCAGAAGCCATATGTGGGGTGGTGGAAACATTGGAATGGACAAGACCCCATGATAGTTTTGGGGGTTCCTTCTCCTTTTACTTGAAGTAAGACTCAAACGACCTCCGGAAAGATGGGAAGCCTGTGAGAAGAGATTCTGGAAAAACGACACCTGTTCGTCCAGTTTGATGGCTGTTTGAAGTGCAGGGCTTGCCAATAGCAATCCAAAAGGTTCAGTCCCAATTCTCGAGGAAGATGGTGAAATCAGCTTCCTTATCAGGCATCGATAATCGAAGTTGTTATTCTCCAACTCAGTATCAGCCCAACCTAGGGAATTACCACTATATACCTAGCTAGTAAGTTGCCATTTACTGGAATCTGGGTTGGGGGATAGCGCAAAGCTGATCCTAGACGCATTGAAACTGGAAGGTGCTGGTTTATTTACCTCCAAGAAACCTCAACATTCCTTCCAGTTGACCCTTTGCCAGCACCAACACCAACAGCAACAACGTGTGAGTAACTCAAACCTATTGGCCCATAATAGCATCTAATTAGTTTTCCACGGATTTATATATATATATATACCCAAGTTGTTTCTTAAAGATCCAATCAAGACAACAAACTGATTTTCCAACCCTTCACGCATAAAGCATTTGTTGAATTCCTGAGGATCAAGCGCAGAAGAGCAGTGTTCTTTTTTGCCTGCTTAAAGGCGTATTGAACTCTGCTTAACCCAAGTAAAACCGAACGGTTTGGTGGTATATAAGTCCCAGAAACCAACCGATAGCTAACGGGCCCTTTTCAGGACAACACCCCGTGGGCCTCGCCGAGGATTTGTTGCCTGACATGGCTGTGATTGCGGTTGTGCCACCGGTGCTCCTTGGTTTCGGGGAGCACGAGCACCGTGAAAGAAAGGGTGTTGACGGTGTTCAGCCTGGTTTTACTTAGAGTGATCCTGATTTTCCCTATGGATAAATCTCCTTCCGGATATTTTTGTTGTTAAAACAGGATTATGGTTGCGTAGCTGTTTTCGAGTGATTGTCCGCAGTAGAATCATCAAGCAAGATCGGAGGGAAGCATTTTTTCTGGGAGCATTTCATCTCCGAAATGAATGAACGTTGAAGATTTCAGCCCAGAGGTGCACAAGTTCATTTTAGGATGGGGTGAGGATGGCATGAGGATGGCATGAACATCCATCGGTCCATCCAGGTGCAAGTCATCTGAACCTCCAAACGATGCTGACCATCCAACGGTCTGTGAGGAGTCGTTGCCATGGTTGACTCGATAATCCGGCAAAGGTGGATGATCCTCACTCCCTGGGACTTCCTCAGAGTGGGTTCTGGTAGTGGATTTGATTTTTGGACGGTCTTTGGAGGGTTTGGACCTATCTTCAGTGAGAATCCAAGAAGGATCCAGATTCACCACGTTTCACGCGTGCTCAGCGCTCAGGACTGGCCAAGGGATCCAAGGAACTTCCATGTGCGGATGCGAAGCCGAAGATCGAGAAGGCGGATCATTCGGAGACCCTAAGAGCTGATCAAAGCAAGGCCTCCACCCTAAGTGCGAAGGCCTCCAACCTACTAGCGATGGCGCTGAAGACTCACATGAATCCTGAAAAGCCACTGGGCTTCTAGAGGAGGAACAGTCGGACTTAGGGTGCCGGGTGCTGGACTTGGGTCCTAAAGGTCAATTTGTTTGGGGTGTAGAACAAGTCTCCAAGAGGTCTCTGTAGCTCAGTCTAGAGGCTAGGGCCCTGAGTGTTTGTTAGCGGCTGATTATATAGGGCCAGGGATGTCTCAACCAGAAAGATTCATGTCCTTCCGAAACACATGGGCGCACGAAACACATATCCGCTGAATCTTGCGGGGCCCAAGACCCCAGTTGTTGCGATGCCAGGGATACAGGAAATGGGATGGAGACGCGATGCCGTTGTAGGACATAGTCTGTTGTAAACACCTAAGTGTGGATTTGGTTTGGATTCAACACTGATTAGGACAATACACATGTTGTTCCTCAATAGCCCCAACATGCCCCAACTTATTTCAGTGGAACAGATAGATGAAACACATAGAACCTATGCTTTAAGACATGCCCTGAACCAAGAAAGGTATAAAGCCAGAGCACTGAAGTTCTTCCAAGAATTCATTGACAGCTGAACTGAAGTTGAATGCTAGCAAGTCTCCTGTCGATGTGTGTTATCACCCGTGTGCTACAGCGCATCCGTTGCTTGCGTTCCAATTCCTAATTCCCTCAGGCATACCACCCGGGGTTTTAGGATAGCAAAAGAACTGCTTGGTTTCCTCAACTTGGAAGACAGAAAGCAGTTCCAAGACACATCCTTTCTGGGTTTCTTCTAGCCGGCAGGATATCCTCGGGCACCCGACAGCGAGACCCGACCAATCTCTCCCCGATGTTGGGCGGGAGCGTCCCGACCAAATCAGCCAAGAACTCCCGTGTATGCCTAGCAAGAGGTTTACAGTGGTTTGGTTTGAGAGTAGATGGCACGGATCAGGGACCGGGCCCCCCAGGTTGGATGGTTTCTAGGGACCCCTATGTAAAAGACATCGAACGGGGTGCCAGTGCCATCTACTCTGACACCACTGTAATCTAAGGTTTGGGATAGAGGCTCTTGGCATGGCTCAAATGTGCACTGTGCCAGGCTGGTTCATCCTGATACAAGGTCTCTCCACTGCTTATGACATCATGGATGTTCTAAGTATCGGCCTCAGCAACCTTCTGATTGTGTCTTGTGTCGGGTTTCGGCAGCAGACTCTCTCTTGCACAAATAAGGTCTCTTGCATTTGGGGAAAACTCGGTGAAGAACCAGCAGAGGTTGAACAAGTAGTTTCATGCACATGGCCTACATGGCCTACAGGACACAAGAATTATTAGCCGGTAAACCTTCGTCCATGGACGTGTCTTGTTTTCTTTTTTGCAATGTTTTGCAGTGCATCATGTGAGCGAATAAACACCTTGCATCCACGCCTTTTCTGTTGATGGAGGAGCTCTCGGGTGGCTGGTGGGTATCTCTGCCTTTCCATGTGAACGTAGAAACTCCGGGGCAAACTACGGAAGAACTTGTGAAATCCATCTAATTAATGACCGCAGAAAATCATAGTATGAAACACCTTCTGTGGTATTTTTAAAAAGAGTTTGAGACGACTTTTGTTCATTCAAAGACCACAGATTCATGAGTATCCTAGTATATCCTAGTCACTAGCTGCTACTAGCTGCTAGTCTAGTTGGTGCATCCTCAACAGGTTCTGCCAGGGGATCGACACAGATTTGGTCTTTGCACCCTGGACCGCTGGAGACGGACCGCTGGAGGTCTACGTGGCTGCATTAGACATGACATCGAGAACTCCTACTCACTGCCGGCGGATGATTCTGGAATCATCGGTGAAGGGGCGTGCCTTGGCTTCGCGAATCGTGGCTTCGTGCCTTCGCGAATCGTCGAACGAAGTGTTCGTTCTGAGTGATGTGGCTGGTCAAAACCAGGCTGCCAGGGTTTTTCCCACCGAAAATGAACAGAATAGACAACACTGGTGGTCGGTCAACCTACCAGGCCACCCGGGGGTCCCGGGTTTGGACTGCCACGTGTCGAACATGGAGATGCACCACACTTGCTGCAAAGGATTGCAAATGACACTACAACCGTACAACCGAGTGGCTCTGCAATCCAATCTCCTCAAAGCGGGGAGGCTCTTTTTCGGGTGGCCAAGAGAGCCCACACCAGGGTTTGCTCACTGGTTTTGCTTAAGTTTACCATAGTTTACTTGGTTTATATACATATATATACACCTGTTTTTGTCTGCACCGGTGAGTTACAAAGTTCCTTCCCAAAGTATTGCTCAACTTTCAGGATGTGCCCTGGAATCCAGACCTTCCCAGGATATTTTCTTGTTTTCGGCAGATCATCAGCACCTTCTTCTTCAACTCACCCAAAACTGGAATATCTCCACAAACTGACACTGGGGTTTTGGAATGTCTTCACACAGCTCCGCATGGAAATACCTGTGGCCTAGGTATGCAACTGTGTACCATTCCCAGGCAGGGTACTGTCGATGCGGCGTGATGCGCGGATTTCTCGCGAGAAATCCGGGCGGGAGATCTCTTTGCTTTGAGATGTTGGTTTCAAGTGCTTGAACCCATGGGCTCTTTGTCAAATGCTTTGACCCTGGATGCTAACAGGGTGTTTTTTTGCCCTTTGGAGGCCGGGTTTTGGAGGACTGAATTTGCAAACGCTGCCGCTCCACAAGGTGTTGTGAGGGATGGAATCTCCATGCAAACTTGCTGCTCTCATGGGTCAGGGCAGCAAAACGGGCAACGCCCGTTTGAAGGGCCTTCAACTGAAAAGTTGACGCATATAACCTTCAGTTGATGAGATTTGGGTGCATTGGTGCTGAAAACTGCAGTTGCAAGCGTGAACTGCTTTCTTGAGATGTGTATGAGGGAGACCTGGTACCCAGACATGTGGGAAGAGGAGAAAGCAACTAACATATTCAGGAGTTGAAAGGGCTCTTCCTAAGAACATATGCTTTCTTTTTGACACCGTTGTTTATTGTTTACAGATGTTCACGCGCATTAGTTCTGAAGTTCAAGAGGGCCATCGTCATTAGGTTGGAGGCCATTGCTATGGGGTTGGAGGCCAATCTTTTTGCCCAACATCCACCGGTTCTTGGTATCGATGTGAAATCCTCACCACCTGGTGTGTCCAGGGCCGAGACAAACGGCCCGTGGCAGTGCCTGGGCGGAGACCAAGGGCGGAGGGACGTGATGGTGCTGGTCGTTCTAAGAGACAGAGCAGGTGATCCCGAGCCGAAGCGGTTGGCTCTATCAATGATCTCCCTGTTGGCTCCTCTCCGTCTTCTCTTTGTTGAGTCCTACCTATCTCTCCTGTCTCCCTGCGAATATCTCATTCTGACTCCATCTCCTTCGAAGTCCAGGAGTTCATTGGTGAAGAGGGGGAGACTCGTCGATGGCCATGGATCCGGTGCCGTTGTTTTTTCTTCGTGGCGACACGACTTCGTGGCCGTGACAACCAAAGGTCCAAGAACTTCACACCCAAACGATCTATGGCCGGTTTGTTCATCTTTGTTTTGCAACGAGTTTTATTGTTTATGCTATATTTATTTTTTAAGGGGGTGAAGCCTTGACAAATTTACAGTAGTCTTCTATTCTCGTGGATCGTGTTTTTGGAATAGGTGATGACATTTGCAGGACTTTGCTTGCGACTTGGGGGCTTTTGGTGCGACTCTTGGTGCGACTTGCGCACCCTCTGCAGGATGTAATCGAAAGTGGCAGATATGTGAAGCATCAACGACCGGTCTTCACACGTGGATCTGAAATTCCCCGTGGGTTCTTTTCGGACAGAACCCAGCTCTTTCTTGTCGGGCTTTCTTTTCTGGGTGCTCCTGGAGGAACTTCTTGGCTGAAGTCCTTGCTTTGGTCGATCCGTTTTTGCCTGGCAGATCCGAGCTTTCTGGATCGATGAATCAAAGTGAATAGTCCAAGAACCTGATATACCAGACACTCCTGGCAGATTCAGAAAGTATCAATGTTCATTCTTCAGTTCGTGACCACACTTCAGGGTCCCATCCAGTGACCGAAGCACCCGGGATCTCAGTCTGGGGCCACGAACTGAAGAACCAGTTTAGGTCACCTCAGTGGACCGTTCTTCGAGGTACTCCAATGCACATCCATTCGTGCAGAGAATGTGGACCTTTGTTCGCTCGAAACGTCAAATCTTCTGGTATATAGGCTATGTAGGGTATAAGTGAGTAGGGCCCCAACTGGGCCTAACCCCCCAAGATGAGTTACAGCCATCCAGTCTAAATCAAATGTATACCAGGTTGGACTGGCCATCCAGTCTCTCCTCAGGTGAAGAAGATGAACTGTCAAAGCGATTTCGAATCCATCGCACGAGAGGCACGATGTCGCAAATCCAAGTCGACGACGTGTTCTTTTTTCATCGAAGTCGCTGACTTCGAGCCGTCACCTTCCTTTCAGTCACGTCGCGGGAGGGTCTGAGAGTCGAAGTTGCCTTGGGAGGGTCGGAGAGTCGAAATTCCGAGGTCGTTGAGTCGCTAGAGTCGCTGGTTCCCTTCGCCGTAGCTGGTTCCGAAGGTCGGTTCCCGGGACCGAACGACCTGGAGTCTCATCTCCCCGAACCGAACCAACGCGGGGGTTCCCGCCAGTCACGAAGTGAAGAACCGCCTTGGTACCGCTCAGATTCAGGTGCAGCTTTCACAAAGATACACCTTGGTCATCTGAGTCATCTTGAGTATACATGGTCTCTGCGAATTGGGAGATCAAGACTTCTGATGTGGACACGAAAAGGTTCTTTTTCCAATTCCATCGATTTTTTTATTGGCAGCTCTGGGTACGAACAACAAACCAAAACGAGTGTCCAGGACCGCACCTCTTCCCTAAACCCTAAACCGCTCTCCGCCCCGCCGCGTGTCGAAACCCCTTTCCACCGGTCCCGGCCCGGGGAATCCTCGCATCCTCGCCGTGTGGAGGTCAGCACGCTGGTGGAGGTGCAAGGGCCCCACATCATCGGATTTCGTGCGATCTTCTGGCAGCAAGAGGTCGTGCCTCTGGCAGCGATCGGACGGTCGGGAGCCGGGCAACGGCCCGGGGCCCGGGCTTCCCGGCGGCCCCGTCTTCGCAACGGGCGGTGTTTCCGGGAACGGGGGGGGCGGTGGTGGTGGGAGAACGGGCGCATGAATTTGGGCGGTGGGAACATCATCAGATGTAGAAAAGGAACGTATTAATGTATATTCTCCCTGATCAACCCCTTCAAGGATAGGTCTTGGCCCACCCAGAGCAATTGCATTGCAAAACTCGCCAGTGTTGTTGTTGAAAACTGTCCATCCGACGTTGGTCCACGTCACAAACCGGTCCACGTGTCCGCCCAGGAGCGCTTGCAGGTCTCGATGGTGTTCGAGTTGGCCTCGGGGGACTTGTTGTTCAAGGCGCCGCACCCGGGCCCGACGAGCCGCGTCGGACGTCGAGCGAGCGAACGTCGCCCGGGACGCGGGGCGCCGGGCGCGGAGGAGGAGCGGGGTCCGAGTCCGAACAGGGCGGAGGTAGGATGAGCGCGGTTGAGCCCGAGTTGGTGCAAGATTTTGATCGGAATCACTTCAAGGGAGCGAGGGAAGATATTTCTTGGTAGTTGGAAAATAGGCTGTCCATGGCTATTGGACCCGGTTTATCCCCAAAGAAGCTGCATCCATGTGATCTGCATCCTATGAAGGTGAGGACTGATCCTTCAAGTTGTGAAAAAAACGCAAGTATCCTAGGCTCTTGCGACTCCAGCGAATCGAAGATGTTTGGGAAAGGCTTCCTCTACTCCATCGGCTTTATGAAGTCATCTCGATTTACTCCGAGCACGGTTGAGGCCCCATATTTCCAAGCGAATTGCCTAGTTGGTGACCTTTTGATCCCGGCGTGAGACTTGGGCCTGGTCGCAGGTGCTGCAAGATGGACCCATGGATGAACCCAGTGCTCGCACGCTCTTCGTGAGTGCCTCGGAAACCGGGTGCGGACCCGCCTTTACGAGCCCGTCCGCAAGGGAGGAGATGCTGGTTGAAAAGAGGTACATGTGACGGGCCAGGTTGGGAGGTTCAGAGAAGGGTATTTCGATCTTTTCCCGAGGTATCCCAGATACATCCCTTCTATAGGAGATAGCTTTCTCACAGAGTCGATTCTTTTTGCGAACTCCTGGGAACAATTCGAACATTTGAGTTGGAAAAGACTGGAAGAGGGTCGCTTGGGATCAATCTTGTCATGAAGTCCGAACCAGAAGTCACAAGACGGGGTGGTGTGGCTCGTCCCATCCAGTGAGTGGATCATGGACACCCCTAACCTCCATGGATAGCACCGCTTTGTGACTGCTGGTAGATGGATTTTTTCGACAGATCGGAGATCACTTGGCAACTTGGGGTGCGTTGGGTTGATTCCACGAAGCATCTGCCTATGCCCACACACCACCCAAGCTGGATAGCTACAAGCACAGCTACCAGGCATGCCCCCCACGCACCGGAGCAACCGGCTCTTAAGGGCTACAGCTGCTCACACGCAGATTCAAACCCAAACTCGGGAGGCTTCACACCCGCGCACAGATCTTGAGGGAGGTCAAAGACTTTGCACGTGAGATGCTTCAGATGGTTCCTGCACTTCGGAATGGCGGACTTAAGATGGTTTGCCCCCCAGCATGGCGAGATCGATACGGCTTCTGCAAGGTTTCACTATTGTTGCAACCCAAAAACCACAGGAATTACACATACACCCAAAGAAACACACAAAAGAAGTGTAAACACAAAAGAAAGTAAACACACAAACTGCAGAGAACATGTTGAAGCTGCTTCACCCCCCATCGAACTCGTCGGTGGCACGCCGAACTCGTCGGTCCGAGGTATCCTGCATGGCCTCAAGAGGATCCATGACCACGGCATAGCAGCTTGGAGGAAAAGAGAGGAGTGGAGGAGAGGAAGAACCCAAAGAATAGCGATGGCCTCCAACCTAGTAAGCAGCTAGCCTCCAACCTACTAGCGATGGCAGAGCCAACACATAATATAATATAATACCCCTGGCTCGAACATTGATGTATTGAAACTCCTTGTGTCTTCCGAATGTGATTCTTGGAAGGATATAGTTATATATACATCCAACGATACTTGAAAGCATCTTCCTGTTCTTCTTGCTTGTGTGTTCCTAGTCTCTGCATGTGATTCTTGAGTGTTCTTGTATGTTCCTGCTCTTGTTCTTGTTCTTTTTGATCGTTTTTTTGGTGGTCTAGTTCCATTCTGTATCACAGAGATACTTTTGGAGACCCACCAGATGCCGAACAAGAAGGGATTCACTACGCTTCACCAGATGTTTTCTTGTTTCTTTGGGCTTCATCGGAAAACAATGAGGCAGAGAGAAACAAGTGGGGTGAACCTACACGCTCGGACCCAGACAGACCCAGAAAAGACCTGCAAGCTCGGAGCCATTGACAGACACCCGAGTTGACCCACAGACCGAGACGGTCGACCGTCGTCTTGGAGACGCCGCCGCATCGGACGAAAATCGGGAATGGAAGTCAATGCTCTTGACGTCATCGGGTCGATTCCCGTCAAGAACCTCACCAGTTCTTGTATCCGCATCTGTGGATCTTCATCTCCGGGACATGGAGATGGGCCAGGGGGTCAAGCCGGGTCAAGCTTTCAATCAAACAAGCATGGCGAAGAGGATCATTTTCTTACAATGAGGAGACCCCCCAACTGATAAGAGTCTTGGTCTATCTTTCCCATGACAAATCATGTTTTCATTGGAGTATGAAAAGCTTTTGTTCAACCAGTCCGAGTCACTTGCCAGAAGTGGTTTGCCAGGGGCAGAGGATTCTCCGTCCAGTGGCAGCGTCGGCAGCAGTATTCTGATGTATTCTGAGGTCCACCGGGACATCAAAACCGAGAACATCCTTCTGCAGGGAGATGTGCCAATGGTGGCTGACTTCGGGCTGCTGGGTCAAAGAAGATTGTGAGCAGCCCCACAGGAGCAGCTGCGGCCACACAGATGGCTGATTCTTTAGCCGTTTCTGGTGGTTGGCCGGTTAGCTGGACTTGATGTGGTCAATCTGAATTTGGAAGGAGTTGCAATTTTTTCCTTGGAAATACCATACTTGACAGTGTCTCGATCAATCCCATAAAGTTTCGGATTTGCTTGCGACCAGGGTTTCTTCTCGAGAGGTGTCTCTGTCAGACGTCAAGAGCTGCCTTGAAGCTCGAGAAACACCCGCAGGTGCCATGCCTCTCTTTAGAACGGTGCCATGAAGGAGGTTTGCCCCGTTGGACAACTCTCGGAATTTGTCCACTCTTAGTTGGGAATCGGCATCCGGAAGGCCTACTATTAGGAATGCTATGGACTTCTCAAGCACTTGGACTCCCAAGTTGCGCCACCTCGACCGGCTTCGAGCGCCCTTCTTGAAGATTCAGAAAGTATCCTCCAAAGCTCGCCCCTCACCCGGAACGGTTACTGTCTGGAGATTTTTTTTCATGATCTTCAAGCAGGGTGGAGAGACATGTGATTGAACCCTGGAAGATGCTGAGATCGAATCGCTTTCCATAAATTTGCAAGATTGTTCAAAATTATACCCTCCCTGCAACAAACATGGCAGTGGACAACCCTTTGTTTGTAGAGGAGAATGGTCTTTCCAGGGGCCATTGTCCACTTCTATGATTGCGATCTTGATAAACAATATTAAAAAATAGAGGCTTTCACCTTTTGATCCACTTTGCGGTCACTCTAGAGGGTATGACCCTTCATCAAGCATCATCCAGCCACTATGGACAAAGAAGGCAAACAGGGCACCGTGCGCGGTGTCTTTTTACGCCCGACACGTCCGCGGCTGGACACAAACGGCTGCAGCAACATTGGCATGAGGTTGGCCTGTAAAGCCACTGACGAGCAGCAGATGTCGCGACGGTGTGGGTCCGCCGGTTTTGTGGCGCCTGAGGCGGGGCGACGTGGGGGTGTCTTTCGGGGACTTGACCAAAAAGCGTTTTAACGTGTGTCCTTGTCAATCATGATATATATATATATATATATTCAATTGGTCATTTGCACGGATTGTTTGCATATTTCTGCCATCCAGTTGGTATCAGCTAGACTGCTTGTTTTGTGTCTTCTGGCAGATGACAATGCACGTATGCAAGAAGTGCAATCCAGTTGGAGTGTTGTGGGCTGATTTGCGAGACGGTTGTTTTTGTTTTTCGACAAGGTTATCAGCACAGAGTATTGGCCATCCAGTTGGTATCACAGTTACTGTTTTATGCTGCTTATCTTGTTTTCATTGCTATGGGTGGAGCTGGGAGGTGGCCCTGGGACTCCCCTATCACCCGGATGACCAGTGGATGTGGGAGATAAGGTCAACCCCCGAATCAGTTGAAAGATGCTGAATGTCCAACTCCCACACCTAACTCGACCACTTTTTCCCAGGTGATGCAGTAGTTCGAGTTGCCATCGGCTCAATTTTGACACGACTGGCATGATGGTTTTCCCATGGCTGCTGGATGTTTGCCCTCTTCGTGGATACATGCATTTTCTCTCACCAGCTGCTACTCAGCTTGCTCCTGCGCCCCCTACTCCCATCCACTCCCCCTGATCTCTCCGTCTAACGCTCGTGTTTCTCGGCGCAGAAACAAGGTCAACAAGATTCACATATCAGTATATTGTGTCAAGGGGGGAGGTGCCTAGTTGAATTTTTGAGGATAAGGGTGCCCACTATCCTCTCGCTTAGAGACTGAAAACCACCCCTTTGTAACTCCTGAAAGGCCAAGACTGCGGGTGCCACAGGACCAGATCGTAGATCTTGCGAGATCACCGGGGAGAGGTGTCAAGTTTCCTGGATTGCAATGCATACCCCTGTTGGAGGAAGTACTCATCATCTTGGAGGAACCTACTGTTGCCAAACGTTTCCTCGCTCTTTTATTAATATAACAAAGTCGAACTGAACATTGGGATTGCCCTAAGAATCAAGGACCCTCAAAGGCAAAGGGATTGAGGGTCCAAACGCAGGGTCACAACCCTCCAGAAGTGGTCAGCTCCAATGATGCCAGTCAACTAGCCTGCCCCCCCATCTTCCAAAGCTTGGGAAGACCTGGGAAGACCTTCGGATCTTTGAAAAGCGGCCCCGTCTCCCGGACCCTTCGCACCTCGATACCTCCCAACCCTTCGATCCCGCTAGCTCTTTGGTTCGCCGAGCTGAGCCGCGGCCAGGTGTGTTTAGGCTCCGCCTATGATACTCGGCCGGAACACGCGGTGGCCGGGGGCGGGATTTTCACCGAAAAATACCGTGTGTGTGTGTTCCACCCTGTAGGGGGGCTGGTTGTTGAATGCAAGTACCAGCCCAACGAAGAGGCTTGCATTGAACACTGATATCGGTGGGGACGCCCACCGATGTACCTGCACTTACCTAATGGGTAACAGAAGGAAGGGTTCGTTGCCGAACTTGTGCGTCGGCTCCCTTCCTTCTGTTGCCCTTTTCTACTTTAATGGGGCGATTCGTCAGTCTCGCCCCTAGCTACAAACAGGAGGCTTCTCTTTCTTTTTCTAGCGATAAAACAGGAGGCTTTCTTTCCTTTCTATCTACTTCGAGCGATTCACTTGTCTCGCTCCTTTTGGAACCTACCTCGCTATGCATGCCGTTAATTCGAGAGTGCTACGTACTCAGTAACTAACTTGAGTCAAACTTTCTTCAAACATCTTCAAGTGCCACGACTTTTCACCCTACCGTTCTAGCACCCATTTCTGCGTGGACTCTCTCACTGAGTGAAGCCGATCGAAGTGTGTGTGATTGTGTGTATTTTCACCGATATGTGTGTTTTTTAATTTTTTCGAAGAAAGCGTTCAGACTGACCGGCTGTGACCCCGGTTTTTCCAGGAGAGAAAGTCAGAGAGAGACTCGTTTTATTGGGTGGGGCTGAGAGTATGAGACGGTTGGATGGGTACACGACCAATAGTGACCATAGTGTCTCCTCACTTCCAATAGTCCTTCAGTCTTGAAGCCTGAAAGCAGTCACTAAATGTCACTAATGGCTGTCACATGCTGTGCCTTTGTCCCTCTTCTGTCCAGAATGAACAACTATTGTTCGGACAAGATCTCGTTTTGAAGACCTCCATCTTCTGGTTCCATGAGTGCCTCCGAAACTTCAGAGCCGACTTCCAGCCCAGCTGCTATCAAAACCAAACCAAGCTCGACCTGCGCATCGTGAACTCGGGACGTCGTGTTTTTTTCCTCCGTCGCCGGGCGCCATTTGCATCGAAGAAGGTTGCGGGCGAGCCGGAAACCGCCATCGCATCATATACCATCGCATATCGAGTGATACAAGATGCTGCAAACGGAAGGATATTTAGTGTGAAGAGGTGGAACCTTTCTCTTTCTAACCCAGACCATCCATGGGATTGGAATAGTTACATATACTTGAGCATCATAAATGGTGTAAACATGACGGCAACTAGGGCAAGGACAGTTCTCTAAAACGAGGACGTTCGCTCCCCACAGCAGCTTGCAGCAAAGGTTTTGGGGCCAAGAAACGAATTTGTCGCTCTGACTCCTCACCTTAAGGACTACAAGGTGGATACCTTTGGTGCAGGCCATGGGTGGGGGCTTCTCTCGTGGCAGCTGCTCTTGGAAAATGAGTTCACCACCTCTTTATGGAGGATTTCATGGTCTTCACTCGGGGCCACACCATCCACTTCCTTGATGATTCCGTAGTTGGAATTCTTCATTCAGTGAGCCCGCATAAAGCGGCGTCAGCGTCAAGAGGTCCCTTCGCTTGAAGCTGGGTCAATCGATGAAGAGGTCCCTTCGACGTCGTGTTGAAGCTGGGTTCAACGCGACCAGACTTTTAGAACCCTTGGCCTACCCATTTTTTGCAGCAAAACCAGCTGGGTTCTCTGTATAATCTTGCCTTCTTTAGACATGTTGAGACATGTTGAGACTCTTATATTTCTAATCAAGGAACTTCAATTTGAGCATTTAATTTGTCAACAGCCTTGCCGTTTGTGAACAGCTGGGGATTGTTCGGTGATTTGTTTGCGAGTTATATAAACCTCCTCAGATTTCAGCAAGGGGAGTCTCATCTCCTGGAAGAACACAAGTCACTGGAGATTTGGAATGAAGACAAGTCCGCAGACCAGATGGAGGAAGAACCTGCCCACTGATGCCGATGTATGGGGCGAAGTAGGTCATTACTTTGGTACTCAGCTTCTTGTCATTGACCTGAATCTAGTGGAAGCAGGTCCCTTCCTTCAGGTCCTACTGAAGGACTGCATCGCACAACCTCCCGCAAAAAGCCGGTGTTTGGTCAGCAACCTACTCACCTTGAGAACGATCATTTGTTTCGCCTCTGTTCTGCACAGTCGTTTTTCCATTTTTTTTTTCTGCTGACCGGTGGTCAGCTTGAGAATGCCAGGTGTGATCCTTTATTTCATCCTCAGCAAAGAGCTGCCTTTCAGCAGCCCAGACCGGGACTCTGCTGCCATCATGCGGAAGACCGTGAAGCCGCTCCACTGCAAAATCCGGCACGAAAGCCAGGGATGGAGTAGCCTGTAGCTTCCTTCGTGAAGGAACCGCAAACGCGGTCTTTTGCTGGAAGGCGACCGTCCGTGAACCCTAAGCTATCATTTCTTGGCAGGTGGGCCAAATGGCTGCTCCCCTATCTTGGAGTAGCTTGTGTGTTGCGGTGTTGCGATGTTGCCTGATCTTATAGTCTATATATGGTCGCTCAATTTGGAGGCCTCAAAGTCCGATGATGGCAGGACATGGACCTCGACCCACTGAACCGAAGACTCAGACAGCGGATTTGCACATCCGGATCCGGATTGGGAGACCAACGTTGTTCAAAATGCTTCAGGATTGTTACCCCGGAGCCAATTTGTCTTTGACAAATCTAATTTTACATAATTTTACCATCAGAGATATGAGTCATTATGAGTGACTCGTCGTATGGAACATGGTATAGAACATGTACTAAACAACATTGCAACCATCGCATTACATGCTGAAACTGTGGCACTTTTTGGGCCTGTCGAACATCCTACGGGCCTCTCTAAGGATCAAAAAGGCTTCACTTGCGCCCGGCGTTTTAGCGCATGGTGTTCGTTTGGCCTACTTGCGCACCAGGGGCGCAAGTGGTCGAAAGAAAAATGTCAAAAAGGACGATCTTGGCCCTGTTGTATCCCAAGACCTCAATCCATAGGTGTATCAGGCTGTCTCTATAGCTCCGAAATCGATGTTGGTCCTGCCCCGAAAATGGCACAACATTCTGCGGCCTCAGCCGAAAAAACAACAGAGAAGGTGGCCAAGTCGACGCCTCCTCTCGCTAAGGTGTAATCTTCATTTGCAACGTCCACCCTTCAGCGAAATGACCAGCCGCACGAGCCTCTCGGATTTTGCCCCCCCCGGTGAGCGATTCCAGGGTTCAAACGGCTCAGCTGCAAAGTTCCAAATGAGATGTTCAAGGGCTTGCAGCCAACTGGACAACCTGCATGGACTGGCTTGGGGGATCAACAAGCAAGAGTTGGACACAGACGCAGATATTGGTCAAATGCGCAGTGTGCATTTCAACAGGGAGACCCAACCAATGGGTAGACTGGTCTATTTCCCTTCGTCCCTGTCGTTCACCGGGGTTCGGTCTCCAGAGATGAGAGCAGTGAAGAAAGCCGATTCGTGGATAGTCAGGGGGAGGTTGACTCACTTGACTCAACACGTGACGTGGGCCACCAAGGAAACATGTTGCGACAGAGGCTTGGTGGCAAATCTCCATTTCAAGTCAGCATCCGGCTGACGAACGGACGGACGAACTCGTGAACGATGATGTTCTCGGGTGGAGACCGACATCCTCACTTAGAGTCGAAGGATCGCGAAACGAGGGGTGGGCCCTCCTTTGGAGGAGGCCAAGTTGCCAAGGTTTAACCCATAAGAAGTAGCAACCATGCCACGATTTGAACACATCAACTCCAAGTGTCATACCCCTTTTTAGCTGGTGCATATCACCCGAGCCCAGAGAAGGATCGGTGAGCACAGAGACGGATCGGTGTAACTAAGCGTTAAACCATGCAGGGTTGGAGGCCATCGCTATTTGAATCCAGACCCATCTGGGATGATGTTTTTGATGCCATCCTGTGTCGACGTGCCTGTGATGTCCGGTGGAAGGTGCGAGGCGAGTCACGAGGGCTCGCGGTGGCTTGAGGGTTTGCCTCGTCTCTCTTCGTGTAGCCTTGGGGCCAAGTAGGTCGCCCTAAGTAGGGCCAAGCTGGTTGGTCACGGGCCGTTTTCAGAAGTGTAGCTACGAACGAAGAAGGAAGATCCCCTATAATAGACCATCTATAGACTCTATAGACCTAACCTAACCCTTTTCAAGCACAAAAGACACTCTGTTCTAAAACCTGTAAGTAGTGTTGACACTGGGCTTCCGACGAATCGTCATGGAAGGTGGACCGTTCATGACGTTCATTCTGAGGCTCATTTGCAAAAGCCAGGAGGAAAGGCTATCGGCTGCTTGGATGGTCAGCTTTCTCTTCGGGTGAATTTTGGGTGGGTCGTTATCCTTCCAACATGTCAGGCCGGAGTTGTTTCGGTCGTCACCGAAACCGTTCGATCCCTACTTGATTTCTGACGTTCGGTCCTTTCTATGGGATTGAATGACAAAGAGTTGCACATGTTTCTGTGTTGTTTTGGATGTTTTGGACGGTCGCTTGGAGGTCCTTCAACTCCCGGAAAATCAAACAAGTGAACAGCACCGGAAGCAGCAAACATGTTCCATGACTTGTTGATCGGTGAGAAAGGGTCCTTCCACTCGATCACCAAGGAAAAGCATTGCCGGATTCAATTGAAATGTTCCTTTTCTCTGGTGAACAGCTGCCAATGGCGCTTTCATGAGCTGCTGAAAACACTTGCAATTCCTTTGCGTCGTTTATTGCGCTTGCTCTTTCCTTGGTTTGTGCAATGAGAAAGTGGGAGGAGGATTGCGCGGGTGGTCCCCGAGCAGGGATGAGTCAATTCCGAGTCGATTTGCATTGGAAAGAGCTCTGCTACCAGTTTCTAGATCCTTGGTGAGTTTGGATTTTCTCTTAAAGTTCTGAAATTGACAAGACAATTACTATAATATATGTTCATCAAATTAATGTTTTATTGGTATTGGGAGGGCAGAGGTGTCTCTCCACAACACCGGTCTGAGACTGAGGCCGATGGGGCCTTGGCGCACTCCTGGGTTGTTGGTAAGACGGCTGGCCACTGGGCTGAGGAGGAAGCTGCAGCATATGCATAGCTGCTTCCTTCACTGTCACATGTGAAATCAAGCGTGTTCAGAGTTCCCGAGAAAAAGGGGTTCTGCGGATAGGAGGAGAGTGATAGGCCCCGGGCCTCATCCATTCTCCAACTTACTGTGCTCGTTTGCGAAGAGCATATTTTGGAACTGGCAGGGTTTGGGAGGCCATCCAAGAGGTCCAGCTAGGTCAGATAAGTCCAGCTAAGTCAGATATCGAATGCGCCCACCGACCCTAGAGGTAGCTTTTTCTTGTCCAACTGGTCGAAGTGGGTGAAACGGGGCACGTCAGAGCTGGGCCGTTTGGCTGGGCTCCTCCCCCTTTGCTGGGCCGAAATAGGGTCAAAATGGATGGCGGCCTTAAGGAAACCATACAGTGGCTCAAGCCATCCGATGTGGACTTTGATGTTCCAAAGCCCATCCAGAATGATCATCCCCACTCTCAGCTAATTAGATCACCTCTTCCAGCAACAGTGGCCCTGTTGCTGCGGCCGTTGGAAAACCATGGACTGCGAGAAGCACAAATCAATACAAATCACAGATCAAAGTTGCCTGCCCACAGCTTTGTGAGGTGGGAAGAAGAAAGAGCTGGCTTCTTTGGCAAAAGCGATGTTCGCCCATGGGATTTCGGGTCAAAACCGGCGAACCTTCGATCCCATCGCTGAAAAAAACACGCTGAGGGACCTCCAGAATGCCGATTTCGGCCTGAAGAGCCGGCGGTTTGAAAGGGACCTCCAGAGCGTCCAAAGTGACGAACGTGGTGAACGTGCTGTGCTGAACGTGGTTTGAACGTTACAACATGGTCTTTGGTTACGGTGGCGAGACTCGGTGTAGATGGTTGGTCTGAGACCGTTTTCATGCAGGTTGAGTGTCAGGGCGAGGAACGGAGTTTGTTGGGTGCCTTCTGATGCCGCAGGCCGCAGGGGGTGCGTTCTGGTTCTTTTTTCTTGCAGGTGGCATGGCATTTGGGTGAGGAACATGGGCCCTCAAGGCATCATAAAAGGCATAACGTGGACTTTTTTTCTGCAGAATGATGACTCATGTGACATTCGGAACCACTTGTGGGGGATAAAATCATATTAGACTCCTACGAAGGAAGTGGTACCTCTAATAGTAGATAGTATTAATTACCTAAAGTAATGAGTGCTACTGGCTGGCAGGCTTTCCCATTAAAGGATAATTACCCTTTAACGCCCTTGGAAGGTCCTTTTCTGCTTCACCTAGCCAAACAACCTGTGTCGGTGACTGCTAGATGTAACACTGGTTTAGACTACGGTACAGGGACATCCATGGGCTAATTTTGACCCGCCAGTTTCTAGCCATTCTGAGCAGACAATCCTGAATGTTCACTCACGGATAGTACTCACTCAATCACTCCATGTATGGAATGTATGCCTACGTACATTGGGGTAGTTTTATGGTGAATGTAGGTCATCTAAAGACACTTACTCTGAGTCAAACTCGCCATCTTCAGCAATGGGGATTCGTCACTGCTGAACGACATGTTCTTTGCGGGGTTTCAGAGGGCCCCAGTCAATGTGTTTCTCTCCTCTCTCTTCTCTCTCTCTCTCTTTATTTAAGAGGTCAGTTCATGTTTGTACCAAGCACCCCGAACAACCTACTTGTCAGATGGAGTTGTCCCAAAGCAATTTTTGGTTCGTTGAAACACCAAAGATTTCCAATGTATTATTTCTCTTTGTCCTCCACCCCCCACCTCTGTGTCCAAACACTTCCGGTCCATCTCGTCCCGTTTGCGCCGAGGCGGAAGGAGATGGGGCGGCTCTTGGAGTTGCTCCGCCACCTCAGCCACGCGATTAGACAGGCGATGGGCGGCTTGGATGGGCCAATCGCGTTGCGCGTGGCACGTGGGTGAGGCGAACATTGTGAGCTCCATAGATGGGCACGTGGTTGGTTTTGCCTCGAGCGATGCATCTCTGTTTTTGCTAGCTTTTGTTGGGGAGTCAGCGTTGATTCCCCAAACAGTGTGGTGGGGTTCTTACGGTATAGTAAAGGATAGTTAAGGCAAGGCTGGGTTTGATCGAGGGTGCTCACCGGCGTGTCCGGCTAGTGCTATTCACGGCACATTCATACCTCTCGAGATATTTGAAATGCATTTCAAGTACGCAGGCTCGTACAAACTGCTGGGTGCGAGCGAGTGCTTTTCTCGACTGCGCTCTTGTTGCGGTGGTCACTTTGCGTGGCAGGCGCAAGGGAATCCTGGTGCTTTGGTTGTCTGAAGTTGACTATCCGTGGCAGGTGCAGAAGATCGGATACTTCGATGTGCAGACTTCATGGCAGGCGCACCGCTCTGGACTTGGTGGTGGCCTTTGGCGTGCTCTGATTTCGTGGCAGGCGCAGTGAGTCGTGAACTTTGGACGTGTGGCTTGACTTCTGAATTCGTCATCTCGAACTTGTGTTGAGAAGTGCTTCTTCTGCGACATGCAATGTGGGTCTTTATGTGCAGGCTTCTTAGCAGGCGTAGCACTGAGAACATACAAGGGCCGACCTCATCCTGTCTCACGAAAGGACTCGGAAATATGAGAGCTGGAGACTCAGAGGCAAAGGAGAGAGATCTTTATAGAGGCCTGACGACTGTAGCACACAACCTGATAGGTCCGTGAAGTTTTTTCAAGTTTCGATAAACAAATAATGAAGGACATCTCTTTCAATTCCTAGGAGCATGGGAATGCCCGCAATCACAGGGTGCTGCATGTGTGCTACGTTTGGTTGTTTTACTTCTGTGGCAGAGTGCAATTGAAAGTGCAAGATGTGCAAGGGTGCAGGAGATTTATTTCAACGGTGTCCTTGATATTGATGTGCAATAACAATCTGGCACGTTCTCTCACATGTGCGTTCTCACAGGTCTGTCTGTGTTATGTTATGACTCATAACTGTGCTTTCATATGTGTGTTCACTCACACTTGTGCGCTCTCATGTGTTTGCTCACAGGTGTGTGCTAACACAGATGCTCGTTCTCATCAGTTTTTGTTTTTTGTGCGTGCGTGTGCTCTCATATGTGTAGTTGTATGTGTGAGCTCTCATATGTTTGCTCTCATGTGTGTGCTCTCTCATATCCGAGCTCTCCTGTGCTCGAGAGTGCGGAAACTGGTTTACTTTCCCTGTTTTTCTACTTAATAGTGTTGGGGTATCTTGCCGGGATCGTTTCTATAGTTGGTTTATGCAAATCTTGTTCAGCTGGGTTTGAACTTAAATCTGTTTGAACACAGGAAATGTAACTTTGATTGACTATGGAACCGGCAGGTGTATTTTTTCACCCATGAAGGCAAGTGGTCAAACTGGATTTGGATGTGGCGCTGGTAAGCTATTGCGGTAAGTGTACCATCTAGTCTATTCTGCCATCAAACAGCATGATCGTCCAACGGGGAACGGTATCGGTATTTCCTTTTGTTTTGTGTCCTGCTCGGCAATCAATCCGCTGATGTCTTGAGTGTCATGTCTTTGAAGTTGTTCCTTCTTGAAAAAACAGGACGAGACCCCCAGGCCTTGCATGGGCCAGCAGGCCCTGTGATAGTTGCTTTAAACAACCGTTTAGTTATTGTGAATTAAGTAATCCTTTTTTTCTGTGCTTTTGCTACAAACATTACAAACATGGCGTGTAGTAAAGGGTATGTGAACTTCTGATCGGACAATTGGAGTGAAAATGAACCCCACATCTGCCATCCAGGAGAGACGCCGCCTCCGCCGCCCGTGCCGCCGTCGCCTCAAGGGTCCTTTTTTTTGGGATAGGATCATTCCAGGAAGGGTACTTGACCATCTGAAAGTCATATTTGCAGGCAATCTGACATCTGATAGGACCGTCGAGAGGATTATCTATAATGAGAGTGGTCACCTGAGCAAACGGGCGGGGTTAAATCATATAAACCTTAACAACGATCCCGCAGATCCAATTCCAGATTCTACTTGACTTGAAACAATGGCAAACCAACCACGGTGACAACCCATCTGTCATTTCAAAAGTCTTGGTTCGTGAGAAGTGGTAACCTTGTGGGAGGGGAGAGAGTCTGGGACATCTATCCAAGCTTCTTCCAACATTTGAGGAAGATCAAATTTATGTCTTGATCATTCAGACATGTTTCAGCCCATTCACATCTATCCAAGCATGCTCAAATACTCGACTCTTCGGAGCGGGGCGTAGGGCATCCAGTCCGTCGGACGTATTCAACCCCTTCGGTACACCGAAGAACTGCTCCGGTGCACCACCTCGAATCCGGTCAATGCCGTATTTTCAAAGGAAACGTGGTGCAGGGTTTCTTCAAGCAGCAGTAGCACAAGATAAGGGTGAAGGATAGACTTCCAACTGCTGGAATATGAAATGGTTGTGGTGGGAAAGGAAGACCCGTAACCAATAGCTTTTAGTGCATTTTTGCTTTCACAGGAGTCTTTGGGGGACCCAACATATCTGATAGTCAAAGGCTAGAAAAAGAAGGGTCTTCAGGGTAGCAAGGGAACTTTCCAATATTTCAGGAGGGACAAAACTACCCCTTGCCAAGGGCCGACCTTGGAGCGAACCCAGGACCAAGAAAAATGGAGGTGGCAAGGACCACTTGGGGGCCCAAAAAAACACATTGGGGCCTAACTTCCCATCAGTGAGTTTTATGTTTTCAATGTATATAATCATAGAAAATTAGTATGTTTTAACTAATTTATTTTCTAAAACATGGCTCTATATTAGTCAAATAATATTTGTATACATATGTACAATGAAAAATAAAAGAAGATATATCTAAAACCATATGTAATATGGCTGTTTTAATATACTCCTTCCGGCTTTTTGCACAGGAACACCTGCCCCAAGTAGCAGTGGAGTCACTTGACCCTAAGTAGCACTGCGCAGTCACGACTTGGACCAACGCAGTCACTTGGACGGCCGAGCCTCGCTTTTTCGCTCGCTCGGCTCGGTGGAGCTGAGGTCACACACATGACGGAGAGGGACGGAGATGTTCGGCGGATTGGATGGGTTGGGAGTGAATCTGTCCTTCGCGCAACAGGTGATGTGACTTGGAAGTGAGAAACAGACTGCTTGGATGGGTTGATTCATATTTGGAACCCAACATCTCTCTGGAACCCCAGATGTTGGTTCCTTTTCTTGTGAACATCGGGTGGCCCTCGCCATGATGGGCCCTCGGGAAAACGAGGTTCCTCCGGTCCGAACAGGTTCACTTCCAGCGACCCGATCTGCGGACGATGGGAGGTCCCACCATGTCGTGGGAGGTCATTTCAGTGCCGCGGACGAGCTTTCCAGACGTTTCAAGCAATGAATCAATATATATATATAATTGCTTGATTCAAGTAAAACTATATATAAATTCAAGCATTGCTTTAATTTCAAGCATTGCTGCCTCATTATTTATATATATACATATTTCAAGCATTGCTTCAGTTTGGATTTGGATTGATGTATAAGAAGTAAATACAATTATTTTATACACATATACATATATACAATATATATGATTCATATGTACATATATATACACACGTATATACACACATACTTTTACACAGACGTGTTCTTAGTGTAGAGTTGAGGAATGACACCTGCAGATGGTGATGTAAAACCATTGTAGTCTTGTTTGGGGGATGGGAACCCCTTTCCTCGAGCCTGGTGACTACCCAGAAAGGGTTCTGACCCTCTCCGATCTGACCCTGGACCCTCTCCTTGTGTTCATCAAACTAGACCCCTAGCTGGATTGGACACCTTTCCAATCCGTTTAGACACTGGATCCCTGCAGAATCAGGCGGACAGTCGCTTTCACGAGAACAACAAGTAACAACGGGGGCACAAGACTTCTTCTCTTTCTTTGAACGGTCCTTGGCACTGGTTTTTTGCTTGGCCCCCAGTGTGGGGCACGCGCAAGTCTCACCCATATTTTTTCAGCCGGAGTCGGCGTCAAGCGGCAGATGAGTGTCGAACTCGCGTATAGAGTTAGGCAGATGTAGCAGTTGCGGCACTTGCAGAAGACTGTTTTGATAGACCATACTACCGCTGAATGAAGAACCTACATGAATCATGAACCTGCACATAGGTTCTCATTTGGATATCTCGGCTTTTCACCATTTCACCTGTCTGTAGTCCGGAGTTCGACACATTCTTCGGTTGGATGCCATCACGACAACGAAGACGCTCTGGAAAACACCTCTAAAAACGACCTCGAAAGACCATTGATATTGATCGACTTGATCCTGTAGACTTGGTACTTTCAGAGGCTCGGCTCGGACGTCGGACGTCGTCGGTTTCGCCACATCCATCGAAATTGGCCACATATGGATCGCGTGTGCGGTTACAGTAGATCCCCTTTTGTGGATTGCAAGGAAGAACAGGTCAAATGAATGCCGGGACACAGTCTTCCAAGCACCTGCTATGGAAGTTGCAGTGGTATCATTGAGATAAACCTCAGAGACCGAAAAGCATTGGCTGCATGAACTTGACCCCTCATGACATGCAGCACAATGTCTGGAACCTCAGCTGGGTCGATTCTGATGAGTTAAAGTTGATTGCAATGACACACCACCTATCTCCTGCTCCAGACCATCAATGTTTTTCCCGTGTTTGGTCTATGCTTCAAGAAGGCATCTGCCTGGTCAAAGGATGGATTCTCGCTTCCAGTTCTTCGGGGAAAGGCCACTTGTAGCATCCACTGGGAACCATGGTCCCCTCATGGTCCCTTTTGATCCCTAATCTTCTTGGCATTCCTGATGCGAAGATCACTTAGCTTTGGCTTGCCTAGCTTGCAAGACACCGCATTGCATCACTGCACCCCGCGCTTTGTGCCGCTCCACACCGCGATTCCGGACCC